GTGTAGGTAGTCCTGTTGCTGTTAGGTGATCATTATTCTAGTAATGAAATTGTGACACATCAGAAACAATGAACATAAACTTTATTTTTTCGTGCATGTAACTTGAACTCTCAAATGCATATAGATTATCTCTTCAACTTTAGTTTATTGCTCATAACAGCACTATATGTCCTGCTTTTGTTAGTGGAATATTGGACTGACATCAAGGGGATTATTTACATTAACCTGAAAGTTTAAGGGTTGATTATCAAATTTTGAAAGTGAAGTTATCTGCACATCACAGGGCCATGGCCCAAAATTTAGGATTTTAGTTCTAGCCTTGTATATAGTAGCTTAGAACTGAACAATGATTTGTTAATGAGGAACCAGATGATAAAATCTCATATAATACTGCTTGAACATAACATTTAGCTATATCTTTTAGACCAAGTCCTTGCAAGCATCCAGTTGATGTGAAATGGTGTATATATGAGTGAACCCTGAACATTTTTAAGAGTGGAATAATCTAGTTGGATATAGTAATTGATGTTGGGATCGTTTGAGGAGTATGATTTTCAGTTGATAAGTATATGCCGCTGATCAATTTTGTTAGGCAGGTTCATCCGGACATACGGCACTCACATAATAGTAGGTATGGCTGTTGGAGGGCAAGATGCAATCTTTGTTAAACAAAAGCACTCTTCAAAGCTTCCTCCTGGTGATCTTAGAAGATATTTGGAGGATCTAGGGGATTATATGTTTTCAGATAGAAGAAGCCCTTCTCTACTACAGAGGAATACAGCAGATGGAAAACATAAAGTATGACGCATTCATTGTCATCTTCTCTAATTCCAAGTGACTTGCCTATTGATGTGAGTTCTATATTCATGTAGGTTCCTGAAGTCTTCAATCGTGTGATGCAATCAAGCACAACGCATTTTACCAGTATTTCTGAAACATCAAGCAAAGATGTAAGCCAAAAAATGGAAATTCTTATTTTCACAATGAATAAAAATTCTAGGCTGTGCTTATCTTTACTTTTTTTGTTACAGGGCCTCACTATCATCTGCTCGAAAAGAGGAGGAGATATTCACAAGCCCAGTCACTCAAATTGGCTCCAGACAGTGCCTTCTAATCCTGAAGCAATTCTCTTCAAGTTTGTTCCTATATCCTCACTTTTGGCAGGGATTCCCGGAAGTGGTTATCTTAGTCATGCAATCAATTTGTATTTGCGGTGTAAGCTCTTGTTCTTAGATTCAACAATAATTGTCTTATCTGCTACTTTCTTCCATATATTTTTCAGCCTTGACTATTCAGTTAAAAAATGTAGTTACTAATGTCATCATTTGTTGCGTAATGTCACTCATAAAATTTCCCATTACTCAGCACTTGAATAAATGCTCTTTTTGCAGATAAGCCTTCATTAGACATACTTTTGTTTTTCCCTACATACGAATCTTTCAATATTATCATTTGTTGCAGTGCGCTGTTTCTTCAAATTTTCCCTGTTTAATGCATACAACACAACACTTCATTGATTCACTTCATTATTGCAGATAAGCCTGCCCCTGAAGATTTACAATACTTCTTAGAATTTCAAATTCCCAGGCAATGGGCTCCCATGTTTTGTGAGCTGCCTCTCAGGCATCAATGGAGAAAGAGCTCTTCTCCTTTCCTTCAATTTAGTTTCATGGGCCCCAAACTTCATGTTAGCCCTGCACTGGTAAAGCATAAAACCCTCCATTTGAGCAGGAAGGCATTGCATTGTTGGGATTCTTTTTTTAGTATGGATGTTTATGTTTCATTTTTCTGTAATTCTCTTCTGTCTGGACTTTGCCGGTCTTAGATTTTAAAAACTGGGGTTATAAATCTAGAGGTTTTTAGCAGTTACTGTAGACTTAAATATTTTATTGCCCTTGAGAGCTCACTTCATGGTGAGTTGGATAGCCTTCCACGGCTCATGCCTTCCCTTTTATGTTACTTCATTTCTTCTTGACATTGATATTATATTTCTCTTGTTGACTTTGTTATATTCCTCAAAATGCCAGGTATTAAGTGAAGAAAAACCTGTAGTTGGCCTCCGCTTGTACTTAGAGGGCAGAAAATGTGATAGGCTGGCAATACATGTACAGCATCTCTCAAGCCTCCCTAACACTATGGTCCTCTCCTCAAGTAACCCAACCATGAGCAGGCCATCTATGTGGCGAGGTTCTGATGATCATGAATCCAGTGACCAATTCCTGGAGCGAGTCAGATGGAAGAGATTCTCAAATGTGTGCACGTCTGTGGTAAAGCATGATCCTCATTGGTTGCATGATTCGAGTGGCGTTTATATTGTGACCGGCGCTCAACTCTTCAGCAAAGGGAGTTGGCCAAGAAATGTGCTTCATCTACGACTTCTCTTCACTTATATTCCAAACTGCAGTATCCGAAAGACAGAGTGGACTACGGCGCCAGAGGCTTCAAGGAAATCATCTTTCCTGACAAATATCAGCACAACTTTCACATTCACACAGCAGAATAATACAGGACCCAGGAAGCAGGCTCCAACTGTACTAAATTCTGGTGTTTATCCAGAAGGTCCCCCTGTGCCAGTTCGCTCTGGTAAACTGCTTAAATATGTGGAGACATCTGAGGTAGTGAGAGGTCCCCATGATGCTCCTGGACATTGGCTGGTAACAGCTGCTAAGCTAGTGGTTGAGGGTGGTAAGATTGGATTGCTGGTAAAGTTTGCATTGTTGGACTATTGGTGATGTCAGGGCGCTATACTGTATATATTGAAAAATGTTGGTAATCGCCCGTTTTCCTTTGTTTATTTTCATGTCTAAATTTTTCCTTTTCTAAAGATACAGAACACATGTAGATATGCTCTAAAATGTCTTTGTATAGGGCAGTACAGAGAGGAGTGGCTATTGAGATAGGGTAATAGAAAAATTAAATTGGGGCTATTCTGTCAATTCTGCCTTTGGATGGAGTTGCTAGGTTCTTGTTTCATCAATTTTAATAATGAGAATGGTAATTAGCAAAGGTCCAAGCCGGCTCTTTCAAGAGAAGAGCATGATCTAAAGTGAGCTATGTTCCACTCATAACCTTAATCCGAGTTCCTGAAAATTGATGCAAGTAAATTCCAAGGGCAAGGTTATATGTAAGGGAATGAAGCAGAAGTTTAACCTTATTAATGGTAATTTTAATCTTAATTTGTTATTATTTTATGTTAAGATGTATTTTTTAGTTATTTAACTTTATATAAGATTTTTTTTTAGTCTTTTAATTTTATAATGTATTTTTTCATTCATTTAACCCTAATACCATTAGTTTTATCAACACAAAATTCCTACATTAAACTTTTAAATATTTATAAAATATTTTTAAATCTAGACATATTAAATTTAAGTTTTAAAAAATAACAAAGATTGATACAAAAAATAATCATTTGAAATTGACAATGTTAAGGTTAGAAGATTAAAAAAGTCTTGACAAAATTAAATGATCAAACTAAAATTTTATACTCCTTCTGTTAAAAAATATAAAACATTTTTTAGAAGTTAAATGTTAAAAAATATGAGATATTTTTAGTATTTTAAGGTAAAATTATTACTTTTTTTTTCAAAAGTGTTTTATTAAATAAATCACTTTATATTTATTTAGAATGAAACACTTTATTAAATAAAGGTAAATATAAAAAATAGAATTAATTTGAAGACAAGTAGCTATTTTATTGATGGTAAGATTTGGTTAAAAATATTTTAACTTTTAAACAGAAAGAGTATAAAATTAGATGATCAAAAGTATACTTTAACTATTATTTTATCTTTTTTAAATTTTAAAAATTATTTTATACAATGATTTCAAAGATTTTAAAACAATCCAAAACTAAAAGTATATGTAACGTAGCGTTAAAAAACAAGACAATGTAATAAAATTAATGAGCAAATTTGGAAGGAGTTTTCTCGAAAAAAAATCCCCCCTTTTCAGAAAAGTTGGGAGGAAAACGTGCAGGTTTTACATGTTATTTTCTCCCCCAATTTTCTCTCTTTTATTTTAGTCCAATGCCATGTAGCTCCTCCTTTCCTTGCTTTTCCTCCCAGTCAACCATAGTTAAATGTCATTCGTACTTTTTAAATCGATGGCACACTACTATCATTTATGTTTGCATTATACCAACCAGTAAATTTTACACAAATATTAAGTGCACATCTACCCGACTATCGTAATAGTATTCAATATTTTGTTGTTGATTCTCATGTATAAACAATATATCAATCAAGTTATGTGGTAGGTACCGTAAAAACGGAAAGTGAAAGTCTGGGAGATAAAGGGTGGCTTGGCTGCTTTTTTCCGTTGCCTGTGGTCATGATTATAATAATTATAAAACTTTACTTGGAATGAAAGCTAGTCCAGTGGGTCAAATATTTTGATGCCTAATAAAAACCATTTGGAGGAAATAAATAAACCAGGAAACGTATCTGTCCTCTTTTTGGGACTTGAAAGCGTCACTCAATTAATAAGAAAATCTTCAAACTTCATCATTCTATCAAACCACTGCTATAATGATTATTTGAAAAAGATGTTACTGAGAATCCTTTATTTCTACCATAATAATGATCCAATCGGTGATGAACCAAAAACAAAGGATAAAAGAGAAGCTGGTATAAATAAATAAAATAAAATAAAAGATGAAGTGGATGCTTTCACTTTTTGGAGCACTGTGAGAGAGAGGAGCATACAGGGTTTGGCATAATGATAGTGGCTATGCACGCAGAGTAACATGTATACTGAGTTACAGATAATCTTATCTATTTGTCTTGCATGGATTAGGAGAATATGAGAGTTATGTATATTGCTTTTTACTTTTTCATACCTAGAAATGAGGCAGTTGAATCATGAATATAGTGGCTCTAATAAGCTGAGGTGAATATGCTAAAAGTTTGTCCTTGAAGTTGCAGCTATACGTCGTCTTTAATTAGAGAAATTTTAGTGTAACACAAGAAAACTAAACAGAGAGATATCCCCATGATAATTTTTCATCTTAGCTTTATTCTTTCACCATACCAGAAACGTATTATGATGCTCTTAACAACCAAAATGATTGGCTTTGAATCAATTGACCAACTACTTAATGGAGCACTAACAACAGTGTGTCAGGTCGGCAAATGGTAAGGTTGAGTTCACCAAATACTTTATAACAACTTCATAGCCTTCATTATTACATATCAGCTCAGATTATCTGTTTCAAAGAAGAGTTAAGAGGGCCCAATGAACCAACTTATTATGTCCTTAACTAAACCATCCACATCACATGTAAATTATTATGGAAGTACATGTCTTTGTTGAGCTAGATTTTGAAATAAAATATAAAAAATGCTGTAAGTACACTCAATTCAAATTATAAGAGAGTGGGACTAGGGTAGATGTGTCAGATTCAATTTCATAATTATAGAAGAAGAATCACAAATTACTTGAGGACGTAGATGATAAGTAAATACAAATCCCTGATCACTTACAGTTATAGTGTTAAATATGAATATTATTGACTATGTTTAAATTTTGAATCATGAAAATGGATGGGGTCAAAGATTGGTTTCATTTGAAGTTTTGCTTTATCTTCTTTCCCCCCGTTTTTTCCATTCCATCTGTAGCAAAAAGCATGTGCTTATCATACCGGAAAAACATTAGGACCACCTAAGAATTGATGGACCTTTTGGCCATTTGCTTCAAAAAGCCAAGCTAACAGCCGGAGATGCTTGTTGATTTCCGTTTCTTTATCCACATGGAGTCCCTTTCTATCCTCTAGAAGATTAATATTAGAAATTAGATCCCAATTAGGTCTTGAGGTATCTTAGGTGGAATACTGTTGGTGTCAAAGTAAAGAGGAAACATCTCTTTTTTCTGAGTACTGATAGAAAAAGGAAAAGAAACCATAGAAGGGGTAGAAACATGAGTGCAAGCATGCATGTGCATAAAGGCAATCACTGGATATGATGAACAACATGTTAGATTTCAATCTGTTTCAAATGGATACAAGATGCCAGAGGAAACAAATCGACCAACAACGTAACATAGAATGAATCTCAGTGTTCGGCTGGCCAATTCTTCTGAATTTCAAAGTGGTAGTTGACATCCATGTAGCATTTTCCATCGTCATCTACAAACTGAAGCAACAAAATTGAGCTAGTTATTTTCTTTGTTGTGCATAAAATGGTGATGAAAATAGGTTAATCGAATATTATTGATAAAAAAGCCATCGTTGCCATGATATCTATGCCAATCATTCTGGTTTGCATAACTTTGAACCAAACAATAAGTGAATCAATTCATCTAGACTGGTTTTCTTGCCTTGGTTGTTGCCGAATAGCTTCCTCTAGCAAACAAGCCAGAGGGGGTTGCTTCTTCTTCCAATAAATATGTGTACGGCTCCTGCTGTGGGCTAAAAGTTCCCAGCATTCTTTTTGAATTGTCCACTGGATAAAGCAAATCACGAAAGCCATTTAAGATTTAACAAGGACAGTCAATATATGACTAGCACAGTGTTACTCAATCATTCTGGGAAAACAGAAAAGGAAGCTTCTGTCTCACCTCTAAGACCAGTTTTCCAGACGACGTTGGTGTATTTGAGGCCAGAAACGATGTTGTTAGAGACAATGAAGGTGAATTTCAAGCGGTATTTGCTTCCTTCCTTGAGCGTGAAGAGACACTTCTTAGAAGCAGTAGTGAATGGGATCGGCAGGATAACGTCTGGCCGTCCTGGACATATTATAGTGAGGCTCACTATTTGCACTTCTGGCTCTTTGATCTCTGGTTTTCAACAAATGGGGTTTAGCTTTTCACAGCTTGGAAAAATCCAATAGTAGATGAAATGAAATTTGATGGCACAAGACTCATAGTCATGTACATTTCACGTACACGATTAGGATCTAGTTTTTGATTCAGCAGTTTTAATTATGCATTTTAACACATTAACTTGGTATGTTTGAGATTTTACTCCTGATCAGTACTTTACAGAAGAACTCTACAGCTAATATGCAAGTTAAGTTGTTTCTTAGATTTGAAGGGAAGTCTCACACTCAAGACAATCTAATTCAAGAGGGTCAGTTCACTCTAAAATGTCCATATTCCTTGAAAGAATAAAGGGTTCTGCAGAAAATTCCCTACAATCAAGAAAAACTTGAGAAACTGGAAAGGGAAAACTTCAAAAGTACCTCCAATGGCAGAGAAATCAACACTGCCAAGAAGTTGCTCCTTCCATTTTCTCAAACTTTCGTCATCCTATGAAGCAAAAATAGAAAATAAATGAATGCACTCGTTTCATCAGAAGAGCAAAAAGCAAAATCAGAGCACCAAAGAAGCATCCAGAAAGAAAGAAAAGAGAATGTTACTTTATCTTTCTCAAGCTGTTCCTTGAGTGAAAATTGAGGGCCGAGGTCCAATTCTCTGTCAGATTCCAACTTGGAGTCATCATCTTCTTCTGCTTCAGTCTCAATTTCGGTGTCTTGAGCTTCATTGTTTTCAAGCTCCTCCTCCAAATGAGGATTAAAGGGAAGGTCTTTGGTTGCAGAGACAGCTCCCACAGCTGCAGACATCTTCCCCTCACAATCAGAAACAACAAATGATGAAGCCTTTCTTTATTTCTTTCTTTCAACTGGGTGCCAAATGCAGAGCTCTTGTTTGGTAGAAATGGAGGGTGGATCTTGTCGAGTGAGAGGCCTATTATGTAGGCAAATCAGTTAAAAAGGTTGGATTTGAGAGGATGCGGTGGGCCTGCTGGGAAATGAAACACAGTTGGAACAAAAGTGATGGATGCAAAGTTGGCAGCAAGAAACCGCTAATGAAGGAGAAGCTGATGTGGACCAGAAATAAATAAAAATCTCATGTGCCCTACATTTATGTTTCTTTACCCATTTGTACGTCCTTTTAAACATAGATCACAAGATGTGAGTGAATACTACACATATTTATTATTATTTTTCTCGAGCCGCATACAGATAACTGCCATCCCTCGAATTTAATTTGCAGATGTCATGGGAATTCTTTCTCGGTACTTCTCTCTTGTGTAGTCAACATTTAACATCCCACGATTAAGAATGAGATCCAACTTTGAGGAGATCATTGTCCTTCAATACATTTCAATAGGTGATTTTTTGACCAAATTTTCTTAGTCAGTTGTATGACACGAGGTCTATTAATTAAATCGTTAATCTCACTAACCAGAAACACGCGGATAATAAGCCTATTACAAAGCATATAAGGTAACGCTAAGACCTTTCTCGATTAACCAAACCAGCCAGCCACGCATTTTCATGCATTTCCAATGATGTTCTCAGTCTCTTAGATGCTGTTACGGCTGAGAAATAGTGTCACATTTCAATAATTCTAACATCCTATACGACACACATGTATAATATATGGATCCTGTGAAATACTCCCTCCGGTCCATTTACAGGGCACTTTTTGAAAAATATTTTTTAATTTAAAATATAAAATGTTTTGTAATAATTAAACTATTTTTTTAATTTTACTCTTTTTTAATTAATGTGAAGGTATTTAAAGTAATTGTATTATTATTTAAAATAAAAAATAAAAATAAAATATATATATATTTTTATAATATAAAAAAATAATTTTTAATATGTATAAAATGATTGAAAATATTTTATAATAAAAAAAAGTGTGAGTAAATATCTACATGCTTTCATGAAAAAAAATAATCACAGGATGACGAATATTAGCTTTTATTGATGGACATGGTCTAGCAATAAAGGTCCATTTCAACTCTTAAAATGGCTCTGCCACTAATGATATTAAAATTTTTATTTGCTGAAGACCATTCCACGTGTCACATCCAGAATAGCGCAAAAATTCCAAATGACCCGACACCAAGCATAACCTTCTGCAGATACCCTCCATCTAGATTTTTCAAAAAAGTGCATATAATTCTTGGACTCACTTTGCTTTCAATTGGTCTGACCATGGCTGCTTCTCTTGCGCTTTCAACCCATGTCTCTTCTATACCCCGCAAAATCCGTCGCCGATCACTTTCTGTGCCCTCTTCTTCGGTCTCCACCGCCATTTTCATGAACCCGGTATCGAAACCAAATAAAAATGATATTTTTTTCTTAAAGAATCCTTCAAAAGCAGCGCTAATTTCTCGGAAATTCATTGCTTGTACTTCTATTGGAGACACTGACACGAAAGATTCCAGCTTGGTGGGTGAGGACTCTGCGGCGTTCGATTTTGAGGAGCAGAAGATATCTTCGTGGATTTATTTCACTGTAATTTTGGGAGTGGTTCTGTTCGTTCTTAATGTAGTTTGGATTGACAATTCCACCGGCTATGGTAAAGCTTTCATTGAGGCGGTTTCAGGACTTTCAGATAGTCATGAGGTAATTTCTTTTTTCCTTTCTCTAGCTGGACAAGTTTATGGAAGCTTTTGGTTAACCTATTCCTTCAAGTTTAGGGATGGGAGTTTTATCAGTATTTGGAGAATGATTTTGGCTTGTGAGAATGATTATGATTAAAATTTAGATCATTTCGTTTTCGTCAATTAAGATTTAGATAAACTAGAATGTGGAGAGGTGAGTTTTATGGCATATAAATAACGTGGCTTCCTATGGATTTTTGTATTATAGATGAATGTAATTAATTTGGTGTTTCTTGATATCTAGATACAAGGATTTTCATTGATGCGTATTACTTTGCAGAAGTGTTGGCTATGGTGTGTGTAGGAAACTAGTGTTGGGATGTCAAGTGTCAATGGACTTGGCTTGATGTGGAGAAAAGTTGTATATTGGATAGAGTTGGGTTAAAGAAGATGTATATAAGGGGAAAGGACTCATAAAATCAACGTCTTAAAGTTTTGGGTTAAGATGTAGCATCATATTCGCTTATAAGTGTCCTCTTGAAATCATTAGGTGGCTCAGCTATGTTCTCCACTCTTCTGAGATCGGAAGCCCACAAGCGTTATTAGGCTGAGCTGTTGGTGATAGGTTGACTTCTTCAAAGTGTGGACACTTGAGGGGGAAATTGTTGAGTTGTTAAGTGTGGGTGGGTTTGTTTGGTGTGGAGAAAAGTCTTACATTAGATAGAGTTGGGTAGAGAAGAAGTTCAACGCCTTAAAGTTTTAGGTTAATATGTAGTATCATACTCGCTTATATGTGTCCTTTCGGAACCGTTGGGTGGCCCAGTTCTGTTCTCTCCTCTTCCGAGATGCTCTCCGGACCCAACAAGTAGTGAGTATTTTTCCCTGAGCTATGCTTTTAATAGCCTAAAATAGTTTGCTATCATGGATTTTTTTGTTTGGGGGGGGGATGAGGGGAGGAATGAGAGAAAAAACCCAAAGCTCACTATACAGGGAACAAATTTGATAACAAAAGTTGTAATATTTTTCTGCTCTCCTAAATTTAAATTGAACTTGAATTCGACAAGCTTTGTGGCTTGGAAGGGGAAGAGTGTTAGTATTTACCTAGTTGGAATTGGGCAGTTTATATTTAGAAATCCAGGAATTGTTCACGGTTCACCCTTAATAAATGTGGAAACTATTTTTCTGATATTGTCTGTGAGAGGAGTTGACTCTCCCTGGTCATTTATTTCCCGGAAAATCTACAACATTTTGGAATGGAAATAGTAAATCCTCAACAAACTTTGGAATGCAAGGTTGACCTGGCTCAAATGAAAACGGCACTAGTTTTGCTGAACACATTTTTATGGATCATCATGAAGTTATTCATCTCATGAGCAGAGAGCGCCTCCACCACAAGTTGTTGGCAAAAATGATCTTTCCTTTTACCAATATCTATTTATCATCTCTGTATCATTTAACATGATGAGTAATATTATTGTTTCTGTCTTTTTGTTTGACATATGACGCCTAACTATGATAATCAGAGTGGTTTTTCATTCAGAGCTGACTCTTCACATATTACACTGCAGGTGGTAATGTTGATCCTGATACTCATCTTTGCCAGTGTCCACAGTGGCATGGCTAGCTTTCGAGACACTGCTGAGAAGGTCATTGGAGAAAGAGCTTATCGTGTTCTTTTTGCAGGAATATCACTACCCTTGGCTGTCAGTACTGTTGTAAGTTCCTTTCTGTTTTTCTTCTAAGCTGCAGAACCACTTCCTTGTCCAAGATAACTTGCGTCTATATCTTCTTTAACCTTTATATATGCATTTGCTTCGTTTATAAACAACAGATAGCCTCTCATTAGATAAAAGGAAGTTTATTCAAACTTACTTCTCTGTGACGCAGGTGTATTTTATTAACCACAGATACGATGGACTTCAACTCTGGCAAGTACAGAATGTTCCTGGGCTTCACCACCTTCTGTGGCTGGCCAATTTCATTTCCTTCTTCTTCCTATATCCTTCAACGTTTAATCTTCTAGAGGTTGCGGCAGTTGACAAGCCTAAGTTACATCTCTGGGAAACTGGCATCATGAGAATAACTAGACATCCACAGGTACAAATCTCCATTTTTGCGTCAGATTCCATATAATTTATGGATGATGTTGTGATGACTTTTCGTGCTATTTGGGTACCGTCGAATCTGTTTATAGTACGAATGTCTCCTGCTTTTGTTGATGCATAAGTGTGGACTACCTTTAGTATGTCATTTCTGACATGATGACATGTAGCCATAAAATAACTGCACTGATTTCATTCGATTTGATGCTGAGAGAAACTCTTAGTTTGAGCATTCTTAAATCTAAGCAAAGTGAAGCATCTACTTGGCATTCTCTAAAACAATTTTTGTTGTTTTGTCTTTAAGATGGTTGGGCAGGTTATATGGTGTCTAGCTCACACAATTTGGATTGGAAATTCTGTGGCTGTTGCTGCTTCTGTTGGCTTGATTGCACATCATCTATTTGGTGTTTGGAACGGTGACAGGCGACTCGCTAGAAGATATGGTGACGATTTTGAGACCGTTAAAGCTCGAACAAGCATAGTCCCATTTGCGGCAATCCTTGATGGCCGGCAAAAGTTACCGAAAGATTACTACAGGGAGTTTATCAGGTTGCCATACTTGACAATCACTGCAGTAACATTAGGAGCTTACTTTGCTCATCCCCTTATGCAATCTGCTAGTTTCAACCTTCACTGGTAGGTACTACACCGCATTATCTCCTCCAATGAAATATCATGTTGAGATGCATGACAACAATGCAAACTATGCACCTCAGCAACTAGAGATGTATACAGATCAACAAAGATACAATGATGAAAGAAATCAATTGAAAATTTGATGTGATCTTGTCTTTATGCATTCAAAACATTTAAAAAAAAAATTAAACAAAAAAACCTGTGGTCTGAAACAGTGAAGAAGTCACGTTTGCAAATGAAGCAGAGACACAGCCAAAAACTGAACTATATATAGGGCTTTTTTTGTTTAAGATTAAAAAATAAATTATTTGTAGATAGTTTAGGGGTTTTATGAAGAGAGGTTTATTTTGTAAAGATTCTAAAAAGGAAAATATTATTTTATGTTTGGTTACAATAATAATAAAATTATTATTAGTTAGTTATTTTTAAATTTTATGATATTTTTCTTGATTTTTGTTTTATGAAAATAATTTATTATTATATTATTTTAAAATTTTATAATAATTTTTTAAAAAATAAGTAATTTTTTCATGAAATAAATTAAAATAAATGGGCCCATACAATAAACCAACATTTGTGCTTCGTGTCTTGTAACTGTTATCTATGAATTATAGTATGTGGCCTATGCGATGCACGGATTGTGAAATTTTTTTAAAAAATTAGTAAATAATAATAGTTAATAATTATTCATAATATAAGAGGTTGTTTGGTGAAAATAAATTTTTTTTGTGTTAGCTATTGACATTTACAAGGTACAAATTAATTCCAAAGTAAAATTTATAAATATTACAATAATATTTTTTTATTGACTTTTAAATAAAATAATTTGTGATGCACATGATTTTTTTTTGGTATGTTTTTTGTAATTGTAATTATGGTACAATTAAGATCAGTTAAATTTAAAGCAATCTTTAAAATAAGTTTAAAAATGATAAGTCAATAATTAGTCTTGTATTAATTTTAAAAAATCAAAAATGATTCAAATTAATTTCATATGGATTTGTTTTTCACTAAATTTTAGGAATGATTATTATATTTTATTTGTTTTAAAAAAAACTTGCTCTTAATGAAAAGAGAATGAATATAAGGAACCAAATATCATAATCGCCAAAAAATAATTTATAAATCTTGAATCTTTACTAATTCAAATACATTCAACTATTTTTATATGTTCTATACTAAGTTATTATTTTATTTTAAATATTGGCTTTATTTTTTATGATACATCAAACAATTAAGAGCATAAAAATCAATCAGGTAATATATATAAAATCACATACCATGATAAGAAATGCCAAATGTCATCTAAGTTAAATTACAACCGAACAATTTGAAGCATGTAAAATACATTTTTTTCATAACATTATTTTCACTTGCTTGTATAATAAAAACTTGTGATTAAATGGTGTTCAATTGTAAAAATAAAAGGGGCATCACCTAATTTTCTCATACTTGTTTTGAAAATGAAATAATCACAATAATTCAATCATTGAAATACACAAAAGAGAAGAAAATTATAATATATTTAATCAAAATGGCATTGTTATAATGAATAAGAGATAACATATTATTGGATAAAAAAATAAAGTTGACTATTAGAGTTCAAATAGAACTAGAGCTTTTATTGTTGGACTTTCATTTGGATTATTTTTTGTCATTGTCAAGCGATTAAGAACAACTTTGCTTAAGCCTTTGATCAAACACCAATGAAATGATAACTTTACAAATTTTGCAAAAATGCGTGTGAATGTGAACAAGCACTCTAAAAAAAAAAAGAATAAATGTGAGTGTAGAAGTTGCAATTAGAAAGAGGTTTTAGGAGTTTTAAGGTGTAACTTTGAATTTGAATCATAAGTGGGGGTAGGAAAAGTGAAAAAAATATAATTGGGGTGAAGACATGAGTCTTTGGTCAGATTTTAGTTTTCCAATCTTCCAGAGTTTTTGCTTTCTTTTCCAAAAAAATGTTTTTTAAAAAATTGGATAGAAATATTTTACTTAGTAGTTTTAAATTAGAATTTTAAATTTCATTTTTTTATACAATCAAAAACATGAATTTCATTTATTATTTTTAAATTAAATGTGAAATTATGAATAAGTTAATGAAAAGTTGAGGTAGTAGGGAGAATTTTGGGGTAAGGTAGTTTTATTTGTTTTTAAAAATTAAAAAATAAATAAAGCAAAATAGAAAATAGAATAAGGGACACATGTCATTGCCATCACATGGGGTGCTCAATTTTTTATTTTTGAATTAGAAATTTAAAATTATAAATAAATAAGTTAATAAAAGTTGGGATAATGTATAAATATTTGGAGGGTAAGGTAGTTTTATTTTTTTAAAATTAGAAAATAAATAAAGCAAATTAGAATCAATAGCACCTCGTTAGATGCTGCTTGAGGTACATAATTTCTTTATTATTTTTAAATTAAAAACTGTGAAGTGTAAATAAATAAGTTCATGGAAAGTTGTGATAATTTTTCTTTAATTTTAAAATTAAAATTTTAAATTTTATTTATTATTTGAATTTATGAATATGTAACTGAGAAGTTGAGATAATTGGAGATGTCTAGAAATGAGATAGTTTTATCTATTTTAAAATTTAAAATTAAAAAATAAATATAATAAAATAATGTTAGGAACACATGTCATCGTCAGATGTTGCTTGGGGTTTTACTTTTTTAAAAAGTTGAGATAGTAAGGAAATGTTTAAAGGTAAGGTAGTTTTATTTATTTTAAAAATTAAAAAAACAAATAGAGCAAAAGAAAATTAGGGACATGTATTTTCAATTAAATGCTACTTGTAATTATGCTCTTTTAAAAAATTAAGATAATGAGGAGATATTTAAGGATAGGATAGTTTTATTTATTTTTTAAAATTAAAAAATAAATAAAACAAAATACAATTAGGGACAATGTGTTGTTATTAGATGTTATTTGCAGTTCTAGTTTTGTAGATATATAGATGGTCACATTCATCTATCCTATGTTTCGTGTAAATCATTATAAAGAACAGAATTAACAGTAAAAACACTTGAAGTAACCCAGGGAGTTCTACGAGAGGCAAGGTCATCTGGGTTGATTTGAATCATCTATTCGGCTAATTTAGCAAAGATTGAGGCCTGATTAGTTACTTGCGAAGAAACATATCTGAAAGGGTGTATGTAATGCCATACTGACCTTAATTTTGTTTGATGTACCATGTAAACCAATTCATTTTTTTTTTAAAAGTTTTTTAAAGAAAAAGGTGAGAAGACGAAAGTGCCCATCATGGGCAGCTAATGGCCGACAATGGAGGCGGGACCATGGACAGGGGTGAGTAAAGTCAAACGAGAGCAAGGGCATTTTAGACTTTTGCCATCCCATTTTTAGACGTGACGTTGACGTGGAACCGATGATTTGTGAATGATTGTGATAATGCGTCTTGAGTAGGTAATGGATAATGAACCATCCAAACAGAGACTATTTTCAGGCGACGAAACGGGCCCTTGTTGATCCCTCCGCACGGCCTGTGTACGCATCTAATCTGATCGGTATCAGACTTTGTCTTTGAGAATATAATATCTTCCAAAATTAGTGCTATGTAATCTTTGTGTAAAAGATATTTTTATCCCAAATTCGAATATTGCCAGATCTCAAAATGGGGCAGTTCTCTTGTTTTTTTTTTAAATATTTTTTTTACATTGACGTAAACTTAAATTCAAGATTTTGTGGTTAAGCAATTATAGCCCTTTTTTAAATCAAGATTGACAAGCTATTTGATATTTATATGCACGCCAATATCAAGACATTCAGGATCCTCAGAAAAAGAAAAAAGAAAAAAGAAAAAAGAAAGGAAGGAAGGAAGGAACTCACGATACATATATTATAGAAGAAAAGAGCAGATTATGAAAATGCAATGATATTAATTGTATTAGAGGGCTTTAGCCTCAGAGTAATTGGATATGAGCCATAATCTATGAGAACAGCAAAAGTAAAGCTATGTTGATGCCAAGGACAAAGTTTGTGGTAGCAGAATCTGAGAATGGCATCTATGAGAGGAAATGCTTCTAGCATTCATTTCACACGTGTTAGATTCCATAGCACTACAATGGCAACTCAGACATCTCCTTGACCCCTCCCATGGAAATTCAGAAATACGAGAATTTTCATAATCAACGTACTCAAATGTTTATTTTACAATAATGAGGAAATGACAGCCATTACGAGTGTGGAATTTTCGGTAGTGATTAATGAAACAACACTCATGGAATAGGATCAGTGAAGAAACAGATCATAAAAGGATATTAAAAGGAAAAAAAAAACAATTCTCTCAGTTACTTTACGAGTTCGTTTTGCATTATTTCAAGAGTATATTGATATTGATAAGAATAAATCTTGTTTAGTTATGCTATCAGAACAAAGTTCCATTCTTCGATATCTTTTTGTCACTTTCAGATAAGTGGGAATCAAAGTATATGAGCTGCTTAATAGTTAATAACCAATATCAAACTTCAAATCCCCTCTATTTTTTAATCGATGAAAAATAATAACAAGAGATAGGACGAATAGCAAGAATATCAAAGATACTGATATTGAAAACGTAAAGAAAATGAGAAAGTTGGAGCAGGTAGAATTTCAAATATTTAGAGTTTAGAAGAAATTTGAAATTACACAAAAGCTAAATTATAATAAAAAATGGATTAATCCAAATCTTTATATATCTAAACGCACGTTTAAGAGTTGGAATCATCAATTGAGTGCGTGCACATGCCGATATATCATGTTTCATTTTCACGTTAATCTTCTTTCTTTCTTTCCTTCTTTTTTTTTTAAAAGGAACGTTTTCCAATTGCAGGCAGCATCTTAGAAATGGATGAAGCAAGGTGATGATCTCACTTGTTTGTTGTTACGTTGTGGTGCGTTTGGCATCAACAAAGTTCTTTCTTTTTAAATAAACCGTACTGCTTTGCTTCAGTGGAAACGTGGCATGTTTCCTGGAATAAGGAAATGAATCAGCGCGTATACAATGTATTTTCTGTATTGGTTCTGTGTGTCTCTTTCTTACAGCACTACCTTCGAAATCTAAAATTATGTATGTGTACTGTGTTTCTTTCTGTACCTATTCATCAAATATAAGTCCCCATCCATGATCATATTCAAGGCAAGTAAATTTAGGCAAAATCATTAGAGAAGCTCAATTTATTCATTTAATTTTCATATTATTTTTAAAATTTTGAGTTATGTGTGCTCGATATGACGACCAATCTATTTAATGTATCTCATGACAAAATTTTAGGACAGTTGTTTCAGAAGTAGCAACTTTTAGGTATTATCAGTAATATTTTATAACCAAAGCACCTATTTGGGGAAAATATGATATTTTGATATAACTTAATATTCTAATTGAAGTATTAATTTCTGTAACATTTTTTTTCAGAAAATAAATTAAGATCAATTTCAGAATGTTCACTAGAAATTTTTTATTTAACATTAATACAGATTTGTTCAATTCATGATCTTTATTCAAAGTTTTAGATTTACTTACGGAGATCAAATGAAAAAAGAATAATGTTTACATTCTAAGTTGTTCAGATCAGCTCTCACGGGATGAAATAAATTGATATAATATATAGAAAATATTTAATATGAAAAGAAGAATTGTGCCTTATGGCTCATTTTTGTCAAAGTGTCTTTTTCGATGAATGATAAGCTTCTCATGAAAGTTACAGTGTGCATTATTTTAATAGCCATTTTACATTCTAAAAATTGTTAATTAAATAGGGTCTCGTGAAAAGACTATTTGGTTGTGTGATCTCCGTACCAATATTAATTGTTATATACAAAAATGTCTTTTCTATGAACGATGAGCTTTTCATGAAAGTTATACTTTATATCCACTTCAATAGCCATTTCTCTGAATTAATGAGTTCCAACCGTCCACTAGTCATTACCACCCTTAACGAGCATATTTTTTTGAAAGTTTTTCATGTTTCTATTCATCATTTATATATTACGAAATCAATGATATGATGCAATTAATATCTTTTTCTAATATAATACTCCTATATATAGTTGTGTTCTTAATTAGTATAGATATTATTGAGTGTTACGTTATGGTCAAGATTGAAAAATCATGTTGAAATTTATTACAAGAAATTAAAGATGCAATATTAATTTTTAAGAATATATAAAATGAATGGGGTGTCACAATCCCATTTACAGCTGTCTCTGTGTATATTATAGCGGCCTGGTGAGATCACATATACTAATTATAAAGGAGACATTCACGTTTAGCAAAAAGCCAAAGCCGATACTTGGAATATTTCATTTAGCAATTATGATTCTTCCTGCACAACACAAGATTCTCTCACCATTATACTAATATGCCTCATGACGCCATTCTTAAGCCTTAAATCTTCTATATAAATACGCACCGTCCATGTCACTGATCCCCAATTATCAAAGCTAATTAATCTGCTTCCCTTCCTTAAATCTCTGTCGTTTCAGTTTCATCCAACACATCACCATATATATACATATGATGTTGAAATCTGTTAAAGGAAGCTTGACGAACCCTCGATCAGGATCAAAGTGTACTGTGCAGCAGCAGAAGAAGAAGAAGAAGAATCAATCAGACAGTGAGTCACTAACTGGTGTCCAGTGGGCAGAGCGCGACGCGTGCTTAGAGCTCAGCAACCAATACTGTAACTGTGGCCACGCCATTGTTGAGGATGGAAACGCACCTGATGCTGAACCCAATAGTTCTTTTGCTCATGCCGTCATCAATATGGTTGGGATGCTCACAGGTCATGTATTCATATATTCCTACTTGACATCATATGCTTAATTTTTTGTCTTCTTGTCAGATGGCATATAAGAATGTAATTTCTCTTATCTTGAATCAAATATTTTTTTTTTAAATGGAAGTTATTGCCTTCTTGTCACGTGGCATATAAGAATCTCTACTTGCATGTGCTTGTTACCTTTGCTACCTCACGGAAAAAGAACACTTTCAGTGTTCCTCAGGGCGTGATGAGATACTGTACAGATTTAAATGATTATTTATATTTATATTTATATTTTACTTTTATTAAAATAAAAATTATAAATTTTTAATAAATCTATTTTAATTTATCACCCATCTAAATAATGTAGATTTAATTTGGATGGTCCAATTAAATATTATAAGCTTTTAGAATTTTATGAATTGACTATTCAATATTTTGGACAGTCTAAATTTAATATTAAATTTTTTTTAAATTTTTGGTAGTAAATATAATATTTAAAATAAAGATAATCTCCAAACTGATATTTTTAAAAAAAAACTTTTTAAGAAAAAATTTATGAATTAAAAATTTTAAATTTAGACCATTCAGAGCATAACTTAATAGTCAATTTATAAAAATTTTAATATTAAATTAGACTATCTAAATTAAACCTATATTATTCAGATGTGTGATGAAATAGATTTATTAAATTTTGTCGGTGCATATTTCACCATCTTAATTGTCCTTGAAATTGGTTCAAGCGCAATGCACCTAAAGTATTATATGTTCTGATGTTAAAACAGTTTGTGTGCATCTCTGATAATTAATGATTATCGTGCATGTTTTGTTTATATATAGGTTTGGGGCAATTATCAGCGTCATACGCTGTAGAAGAGGGAGGTTGGGCATGTGCATTAATATTCCTGATAGGGCTTGCAACGACCTGTGCTTATGCTTGTGGCCTTCTTGGGAAATGCATGGACAAGAACCCTAAGCTACGAAGCTACGCTGACATAGGCGAAGAAGCCTTTGGAAGAAGAGGAAGAATGGTGGCTTCAACCCTTATCTACACTGAGATCTTCATGGCTCTCGTCTCCTACACCATCTCACTACACGACAACTTGTTCACTGTCTTCGCGGGAAGCCACTATCTCAAGCATCTGAGGTTGCCTGAGTTTCTGTCACCTTCTCAGCTTCTCACTGTTCTCGCCGTGCTGATTGCTATGCCTAGCTTGTGGCTCAGAGACCTTTCTTCCATTTCTTCCTTTCCACGGCCGGTGTTCTCATGTCTGTCATTATTTTCTTGTCCGTCGCTGCCACTCCCATCTTCGGAGGCGTTAGGGTTGACCACCACATTCCAGTTCTTCAGATTCGTAACGGCCCTTCTGTTTCTGGCCTCTTCATCTACAGCTATGGTGGACACGTCGTGTTCCCTGATCTCTATAAATCTATGAAGGACCCCTCCAAGTTTACCAAAGTATATATCATACTCTCATACATATATCATACACGCACACATAAATATATATACACGTGATAATCTTGATTACATGCACAGTACTCATTTCCGGCAATGAAACTAAATATTTCAGGTCATAATAGTGAGCTTTCAATAGCCACCCTGCTGTTTACAACGCCTGGGATTCATGGGTGCGAAGATGTTTGGGCCACAAGTAAAGTCGCAGATCACTCTGAGCATGCCACGTAATTTCGTAGGGACGAAAGTAGCAGTGTGGGCGACAGTGATAACACCAATGACCAAATATGCGCTTGAGTTGGCGCCATTTGCTATTCAGCTACAGAAAAGATGGCTTCCCAGTTCAATAAGCAGCAGAAACAAGATGATAGTGCGAGGCACGGTGGGTTCAGTGCTGTTGCTGGTAATTCTAGCTCTTGCTCTTTCAGTGCCTTACTTTGAGGACGTGCTTAGTCTCACTGGCTCGCTTTTGACCGTTGTGATAAGCTTGATCTTCCCTTGTGCTTTCTACACTAAGATCTGCTGGGGACAAATAAAAAAGCCTCTCTTAGTCTTCAACTCGTGTCTCGCCACTCTAGGGCTCATCCTTGGAGTTATGGGCACTATTTCTTCCTCCAGGTCACTCCTCAGCAATCTTCAGGCTCATCACTGATCAGCTTGTTATATAAATATATATAGGTTTCTTTATCTGTGGTGATGGAAGAAGATCAACTTTTGTTGTTTTTGCTTTAATTTGGTAAATCACGCGCTGTGGTTTTTATGATAGCACGAACATCTTTTTGAATCCTTTTGGCTCTTGCTTTTTCATCATTGCGCGGATTTTGTGATGCAGTGGTAATCATCATTTTTACAACATCGATGGATATTTTTAAAAACTTAACACAATATAATTTGATTTTTTCTCAAAAAAAAAAAAATTCACACATAGTTTGTTCCCCTTTCATTAGTGAGTCTAATTGAAGAAAAAAACTTCTCGGATTTTATATGCGCTTTCTCTATTCTAAACTAGAAACAGGATTTGTAGAATTTAAATTTCAATTAGGGGAATAACGTTTTGGAACCAATTTAATGTCAATTGGAAGCTAAAAAGTTCTGAAGAAATTGTATTCCAATAAGACTAAATGTTCTCGAGTTATAAAAAATTCAATTTAATAATTGCTTTCCAAAATTTGACTTTGTCTGCTTAAAATTGATGTTCCAAGAAATTAAAGACCAGGAAGCACTTATAAAACGGGTCAATTTATTTATCTATGAGTTTGACACTAATCTTCCAAGATCTAATATATTAATTTGCAATTAATTTTTAAAAATTTGACAAGAAACTTAAAAAATTAGTTGCAAATTATATTATATAGACAAAAGTCAAATTGTGAAAGACAAATGTGAAACTATAATAGAACCCATAGTATTCTTTTTAATTTTAATTCTTCTTTTATTCACAGACATTTTAATTTTTCAAAAATTAAATATTTCATTCTACGAAATAATAATATTGTATGCATTGTAGTTATACTTTGAGTTAACTCTATGAGTTTATCGTTTTTATATTTTTAACTTATAAAATCGTGTTAACTTATTCATAAATTTGGATTAAGATAAACTTATTTAAACTTGTAAGTTGACTCTCCGAATTTATCATTTTCATGTTTCTAACTTATAAAATCATGTCACTTCACTTGTAAATTCATTGAGTAAGATAGTATATACTATGCAGAATTAAATTCATAAAAGCAGTGAGATTTAGTTTAATGAAAAATAAAACTAAAAATCAAAAATTAATATTAATAAAAAGAAAATAAAAATATGAAAAATAAGTTGTCATATTTTGCAATTTCTATATTGAGTATAATAATCTATAAATGTAGATAGATTTAATTTCAATAATATATATTTAAAATATATTCAAACTAAATTATGGTTGTATTTTATATTTTAATTATTAATCATATATTTTTAAAGGTTATTTATTAATAGAGATAAATTTTTGCAAGTTTACAATCCGAGTCTATATTTTAATTTTACATTCCTCTCATGAATTTAACTACCTTGATTGTATGTTACTGGCTAAGATTCAAATCGAGGAACTTTCTTTGAGGTAAAAAAATATTGAGGAACCTTCCCCTCTTTCCCTCGACTTAGTTACAACAATTTTTTATGAGGCCTTGAAATAAAAAGCGTAAGAGAAGACCTGATTTAAAATAGCAAAACTAGCATTCAATTTGTCCATACATGCGTTTTTACAAGTTAATTAAGTTCGTAGATTAAATGAACTAGAAGCCACGCTGAGATGACAAGATATGCTGAGGCCAGCATGAAGGGACTTATTAGGCAGAAAAGATTTTTCTTATTTTTTTAATTCTTAAACAAGCCAAAGTGATCGGATAAGCTTAAGGGTTAGAGCCATGGCAACATGGCGGCCCACGTTGTCATTGTCAATTTCATACTCCATCTTCGTATTTTCTTTCGTTTTTTTTAATCAAATACCGCATGTTATGTTTCATTATCACCCCATTTTTTAATTAATGTCGATAACTTTTGGGGGGGCAAATCATCCGATATATAGTAAAACTACAACAGTCAAATATGTTGTTCCATTGGGACGACCCACGGAAAATACACAAAAAGAGTGCGGAACACGGAGTTGAGTTATATAGTTCAGATTAACTTCAACCAGCTCTATTTTTATTTATTGTTTCTAATAATACATATGTTTGTGTAATAATTACCTATTAAGCTGTTATTTCTTATTATTACATATTGCATAATATATGTGTGTGTGTGTGTACTACTGTGCAGGAATGTGAGCTGGGTCACGTTGGCCAAAAAAAGTGAGTGGCTCATAATTCATGATGTGTGAATAGTATTTGCTCAAAAAAAAAAGTATGAATAGCATGTTTTGTCGTACACTTGATTATTTGCCTATGCTATATATATATATATATATATATTAATTGATTATAGATTTTCTTTGAAGTCCGATCACAATACAAATTATTATTAATTAATTTATATTTATAAAAAAAGTTAGTTAAATCTTAATTTTTTTTACTTTTTTATATTTTTTAATCATATCTTCAAATGAAATAAATATAATATTTAACATATTCAAAACACTCCAGTTAATTACTTAAATGGAATATAATAAAATAAAGATGTAATTATAAAAATAAAAATTTATTTAATATCTATATGTTAAAATAAATAAAGCTTTTACAAAATATCCTTGTTATATTGGCTGCTTCGATCATCAACTTTTTAGGGTCTGTTCCAAGTGGCAGATGGTAGAAGGTGTTGTACTGGGTTTGTAATTTCTCTTATATTCTTTGCTCCTTGAGTTAATATATAGTTTCATTCAATAAAATAAAAAAAATCCTATATTATATATTATAAAGAAAGATTAGATATCCTTAAAAAAGTTCATTGGAGGCGGAGAAGAGAAAAGTGGGGACGGCATGCATCTAGAAGGTGGGGACCACAGAAGTAGTAGTGGGCTAAGTCATGATCCCTGGCAGGCTGGCAAATTGGCAACGGGGGGTACAATTACCAATTTGCCATTCCCACCATATGGGGGGAGAGAGAGAGCATCAACGCGAGGGAAATGGGATTCAGATTCGTTTCATTTTCTTCCATTTCATATTAAAAAAACAAAATTTTATTTTTAAAAATTAAAAAATATTTAATAAAATATTTTACAAAAAAACACATATTAAAAGATACATTTAAATAATATTTAAAAATAATTTTTAAAATATAATTATTTAAAACTTTTAAAAAGTAAATTTAAAAGATATGATATTATTTGATGATATTACCTCAAATTTAATCTCTTATTATTTTTTATTTAAAAAATAGTCAATTCATTAAAAATATAATTATAATTTTAATAATAATGATTAGTCAATTTTTTAACATTATAAATTAAATAATTAATTATGTTAATTTTTAACATTCATAATAAAAATTACAAATTTTTATCATATTTTCTAAAATTACAAATTAAAAAAATATATATAATTAGAGATTAAATTTTTAGCATTATAGATTAAAATTTATGTTATTTAAAATCTTTATTATATTTTTTAAATATTTTAAATATATTACGTTTGCATAATAAAAATTGTAAATCATCATAAATCAATGTTCTTTTTAATAATTATACATTTAAAAATATATTTTACTATCATAAACTAAATATAGAGCCGGTAATTTGGATGGATAAGGCTTATTCGGGTTGAACTTCATTTAAGCTGGCTTATTCGGATCGAGTTTAAAGAATCCTACTCATTCTAAAAAAGCTATATAGTCAAATCGATCCTAATATCTTCGGACTTTGGGTTTATTTGAACTGGCCCGAATACCCAAAATTTTTTAAAAAATATTTTTTTCTTTATTTTTTAATCAATTTTAAGTTTTAAATAATTTATTAAGCATAAAATATTATTTTAACTTGAAAGAAATAAAAAATAATAATTTATTAACTTTGTAGCTAAGTACTTAAGTAGTTCTGTTACTATTTTATTGTATTATATGCAATTTATTATGAATATTTTCTTTACTTGTAAATTAATATCTTATTTATTTAAATATTGCCCTTATCATGGTTATATAAAAATATTTATAAATTTTAATTAAATTAATTATTTTAATTATGATCAAGTTAATCTTAATTCAACTACAATTAAACCACTAATTTAAAATTATTGTCCTAATTAGCTCAAAATTTTTAATGGCTATTAGATAAATTATTTTTTGTTTTTACGAATAAGAAAAAAATAGCCATCATTATATTATATAAAAAAATCATTTAATTAAGGATAAAATATTTTTTTTAAATTTTTTTCTTTAACCTTTTATATTATTTAAGCCCTATATATAAAGGGTATTTACTTTAATTATTCTTAATTTTTAACCAAGTATGACATGGATAATAATTAAATAATTATTTAAAAATATTATTTTCTTTATCATGTTTGTTTAATAGTAGAGTAAGGAATTTGTATATGCTCAAATTTTATTTTTAAAATTATTTTTAATTTAAAATTAATTATTTTATTTTATAAAAAATATAAAATATAATTTTTGGGACACGAAAATGGTGTTAAAATATAAAAATTAATATAAAAATATATTTTAATTATTATTTTGAGATATTTTATTTAATTAAAAATAATAAAAATTAGAAAATATAAATATTTTTATTTTTAAAAATAACTATAATAATACACTCAAATATATAATATTTTAGAATAAAATAATATAAAACTTTTAAATAATTAATATTTATTATATTATTTATATATATTTTAAAATTATATTTTTTTATTCGGGTATTTGGGCCCTATTCGGGTGGCCCGAATAAGCCTGAACAATAAAAAATTATTATTTTTTGAGTTCGGGTCTAATTTTTTGGTTAGGTTTGGTTGTTCCGTCGAGTTTGACTCAAATTATTAACTCTGATTAAATAGCTTTTAATGTATCAAATTAATTTTTTAAAAATATATTTAAATATAAATTTTATTAATAATTAATTTTTATTAAATAAATTTTTAATAAATTGCAAATTAAACGCACACTCGTTGGGTCAATCCGCAGCTCCCACCATCGCGATTCGTAAAGCTATAATAGTGATAGCGTGCCTTACTGCATGACGATCTCAAGCGATCTCAAGTCTGTCTCGCCTTTACCCGATTCACAATAAAGTCGGTTCCTATCTTACCCTCAAATCCCTCAACCTCAATCATCTTCCTCATACTCTCCTTGCTCCTTCACCCGAGACCTCCCAGTCGTTCTCATTATTTGAGAGAGAAACAGAAACCTCCCATCACTGCCCAGGCCCAGGCCTTCTTTCTCACCCTCTTTCGTCTTAACCATCCATCTTTCTCTTCGTCTTCCTCACTACTCACCTTTCCGTCACAGGTAACCTCAGCTAACCTCTGTTTGTTAGTTCCTTTACATGGCATCCTTTCTCCTCCTCCTCCTCTTCTGATAAATTCGCGGGAAAAGGAAATATTTTGGGTAGCCACTTGACAACGCTGTGGCTTTTTTGGTTGCTTTTCATTTTATGCTGTTCTTTTTCCGCCATAGATTTCTCTGTTCTTCTTGTGGAACATGCCCCACTTCGTCCTCGGTTTTGCTCCCTTGATTTTATATCTGATTCGGTAAAAATAAGTTTTTTTGTTGTTGTCCTTCTGAAGAATTGCCCCCATTCCAGTCGCTTCATATACGCTGATTTGGGATTATTTGTAAACTACTAAAATACCCTCTCTTTAGTGAATTGGGAATTTTTAAATTCTGGGTTTTGTTTCTGCTGTGCACATATTTGATTATCCACTTGAAATCTCTCGATTATTCTCTATGGGGCGAAAAGCTGCGCATGATCTTTATTCCTGGAATGGAATTTTTTTACCCTTCGCCAGGGCCTGGAATGAACGTTAGCTTTTGCCCATGCCATGCTCTCTTTTGCTTCCTGCTTCCAGCAATAGTTTTAGAATAATAGTTTTCTGTTTCAAAGCAATTCGTCTCTTGCACGATCGTTCCCATTATCCCTCCCCCCTTTCATGTCAGGGGATCTTTGCTTGGTTCTAGCAAGGCATTCCTATAATTTTAAATTTCTAAACATGAAGCTTTACTAAAGTTAAAGTATTTTCCTGGTGCAGGTATAGCATGTCCTATCATAACCTGTACGAATTTGCTTATATGGCTGGAGCTGATGAAATGGAAGATTTCATTGATGAGATAGAAGATGAAAACTACGGTGAATGTGGCGGAGATATGGGCGTTGATGAATATGAAGTGGTTTGTATTCTTTTCTTTGGTTAGGACTGTATTCTTGCACCATTTCATTTGTTTGTTTTAATAAGAAATCTTGATTGATTGATTGATTTATTTATTGTTGGTGCTCAACTTGAGCAGCTCACAAAGGTAACCGATACATCCGCTGCTCAAGCAAGAAAGGGGAAGGACATTCAAGGTATTCAGTGGGAGAGGTTGAACATAACGAGAGAAAGGTACAGATTGACAAGGCTTGAACAGTACCGAAATTATGAGAATATACCAGCGTCTGGGGAAGCTGTAGACAAGGTCTTACTTTCATAAACTTCTTTCCTCTTTTGCTTTCATTGAGAGTATAATGGATTTTTAGAGGGTGAGGAGGGGTTTACAAAGCATCCTAAGAAGTAAGAAAGATATAATTTTCAAATTCTCTTGTTTCAGGAGTGCAAACAAATGGAGAAGGGTGGAAAATTCTATGAATTCTTCTATAATACAAGATTGGTTAAACCTACTATTCTTCATTTTCAGGTTCGATTATTTTCATGTGTTTCCCCTGGTTATCATGCTATTGCTATCCCTGTATGTTTTCTGAATGGCTTCATGAAAGTTTATGATTATAAGCACATCTTTTATCATTCTGCGTTCAAAAGTCAAAATCGCTTGTGGCTCTCTTCTACATCAATTATGAGGTATAGGCTTGAGTGAGCTAAACGCATGCAACATGGATGACAATATACAATAGCTTTGAATTTGGTTGACCAGTGTTGGGGTTTGTGGTTCTGTCTTTATCTACAACTAGAATATAAGTTTCACACCCCACATATTCTTTTCAAGGAAGTTAAAAGTCAAAGGTGCCCTTAAGGTGCTAAATCTCTACAATGCTTATGCGAGATGCACTAGAAAGATGCATATCTGAGTGAAGTGAGGCTCTAAGTAAGAAAATTTATGCTATGAGCCAAATGTAAATGTAAATTTGGAATAACATTCTAAATATAAATTAACTAGTCAAACATAATAATTGCTGAGCCATAAGATGTCATAATCTTAAAAGCCGCCCTAATCAAGTTACTAATATTACTATTTTAGCATGATAATTATTAATCATAAGTCATAATAATATTAACTACATTCGTAAAGTCATTATTCAAGCCACGTGTCAGATAATAGAGTTGACGGATTAATTTTAAAACCCAGGAAATGCAATTGGATATGGCCCCTTGTGGGTAGCCTTTCTTTGTGTTTGTTTATAAAGTCATAAAATACTAATAGCCTGAATATTTAAAATAAGAATAACTGTCTTACCTCTCTGGCTGTGTTTGGCTTTTGAGATTGAGTTTTATAGTCTAAAAATTTTTGGGTGGTTTATAAGCTAAATCTTCCTTTTTTTCTTCCAAACACACTGGCACTTAAGGTGCTCCCTTGGCAGTGCCTCTCTCATCTGTGAGAGACACTAGCCTTGAATAGCACCTCACCTTCACAACATAGGCACTGATGCAAGCTCCTTTTAAGTACCGTGATTCTTTCATTTTATAACAAATCACTATCATTATTACTTTCCTGTGACCTCCAGATGTTGAATTCAAGTTATTTTGCTTCATATAACTTAAAATAATGTCAATTTTTGCTAATTTGTCATCCAGACAACTGTTTCTATTTATACCATATGTTGTCACAAAAGGTTCACGTGGTTTACCAAGTCTTTTTGGTATTTCATGACTTTGCAGCTGAGGAATTTAGTTTGGGCTACTTCAAAACATGATGTTTATCTTATTTCAAACTACTCTGTCATGCACTGGTCATCGTTAACTGGCCATTTGTCAGAGATCATCAATTTTGCGGGACATGTAGCACCTGCTGAGGTAAGGATGTCTAAGTAACCCTGTTTATCTGTTGAGCAAAGAAGGAAAATACAATAGATTTGTATTTCTTCACGTCTTTTTGGTGGAAGTCTAATCTGATTATTAGCATTTGTCACAATCCCACCGCTTGCTGGGTGGCGAGTTTTATATAATGGTTTCAGCCTCTGGCTGCACTGGGCCATTTGGAGTTTGAAAAAGCTAGGTTGATTGGTGTGAAGTGAGAGTAGTTGCTGAATAACAATATGCTGAACCCAAGAATTATTTAATTGTTATGCTATGCTGTAAGTTGCCAAGTGTGAAAAGTTAGCAAGAACAAAGTTGTAAAAGGAAATTTATATTTTGATTGTAAGAAACTTTTCATCAAATAATCCCGATGTGACTGCTGACAATTAGATGTATCTTTAGGTTCATATATTAGTTTAAACTTAATAGGATATATTAACACTTTGACTAGGCCATTTATACAAGAAAATTATGTATTGAAAAAAAAAGAGAGAGAGAGAATACAAATGTAATTAGTAAAGTGTTAGGACTTGAATTTATTAACTTGGAACTCCAAAATGTTAAAACATGCTGGAATAGGTATTTGGTGCCTTACCGTGTGAGGGGAAGAAAATTTGTGCAGCAAAAGTTCTTTGAACATTTGTGGTTTACTTTAATACACTTGTGCACTCATAATTTATCTACTAAGCCTGTTGCTTTGCCTTGTAGAAACATGCAGGAAGTTTGTTGGAAGGCTTTTCACAAACCCAGATTAGCACGTTGGCTGTCAAGGGAAATTTCCTTGTTGCTGGTGGGTTCCAAGGGGAGCTTACTTGTAAGGTGAGTCCACATGCTTGATAGCTTCAAAACTTGAACTAAAAGATGTGGTTTTGCTCTTAGCTTTTCTAGGGCATTGTTTGCAGTTGATTATTGTTTACAGAGGAGTTTCTCAAAAAGAAAAAGTGGCGTGTCTTCCATTGTACAAAGGTCTTAATTGCACCTGGTGTTGAAGATTTTGTGGATTAAACTTTGATTCATATCTCTGTCTTTTCTCTTATCTATTTTCATGCTCTTCACCTCTATTTTGTTTATGCCCCCTCATTCAATAATGTGTCACTGGCTTCTCCATTGTCTTCATATTGTGGTTGTAATTATTATTATCATTATTTGGGTTGATGGCACATGCCATGCAAATAAACCAATTTATTTTACTGTGCTTGGAGTATTTTCATTTATGTTCTGAGTACTTTCTTGTGGTGGTTTGACGTAAATTTTGATGTCTGTTCGCTTAATGCAGCGTTTGGACGAGAAAGGAGTAAGCTTTTGTACGCGGACCACATATGATGACAATGCAATCACAAATGCAATTGAAATATATGACACTCTGAGGTACTTCTCATGCAAAGCTTTAAATATTGGTTTGTATCTTTACGAAATAAGAAACTGTATTAAGAAGAAAGAGGAGGATAGGGAATCCTTTCTATCTAAAGGGCAAAACTTGATAAAAGATACAGGAAAAAATAGTTAGCGTTTATTTGTCATCAATTCTGGATCAGGTTTTTTGACATGGAAGTTCTTGCAGGGGTGGAACTCATTTCATGGCATCCAATAATGATTGTGGAGTACGAGAGTATGACATGGGAAAGTTTCAGCTATTAAATCACCTCCAGTTCCCTTGGCCAGTGAATGTGAGTTGTTTCTACCCATTGAGCTTTTCTGGTGTGTTTTCTTTTCTTATTCTTTCCTTTCCTGTCTATACATGACATCATATTTCCATGGCCGTTAATTTCATTTTTTTCTTTTATCCTTATATTCTCATGATGCAATTTATTTTAACTTTACATGCTAGACACATCATTGCACTATACATTTCAGCTAATCACCCTAGATCTTCTCCATGTCATCATCAGACATATGCAATCATCTAATTACTCTGATCTTTTGATATTTTATGTCTTCTAGAATTACAAAACATTTAATTCAATAATCTCAAATCCATAACTTGATGTTCTTGTTGCATTTTATTTTAGAGTGTGTTATTAAAAAGTTTTTTAAAAGTTTACACATGGATTAAGTCACACGTTAATTCTTATGGTCGCTTTCAATGTGAATCGAGAATTGATTTTGACAAGACAAATAGTTCAGACTTCAAAGTGTTTGACCCTTCATAGCGAGGGACTTGAATTTCATGTGCACAGCTTTGATGCCTAACTTGATGTTCTTGTTGCAGCACACATCAATCAGCCCAGATTGTAGGCTTATGACTGTTGTTGGGGATAACCTAGATGGATTGCTAGTGGATCCGCAAAATGGCAAGGTATATAGTTCTCTTCATTATGTATTGTCTTAGAATTTACAGAAGAGGCTTTTTAATTTTCCATTCCTTTGCTATCAAATTCTTCAACCTGAAGGTATGTCCTAAATTTTTGTTTTTATGGTGTGGTCATAGATATGCATGTTATGTTAGGCTGTTGATGTTCTCGTTGTGGCTCATTGCAATTCTTTTTTTTTTTTTTTAACTGAATAAATTGCAAAATAGGGGTTTTTGGGAGAGTATTTCCAATTTAAGGACAATTAAACCAGAGTGTTAATATTCATTGACGAGTTGAGTGTCATCAATGTATTGCATGAAATACTCATCGTTGGTTTAATTGCTAGAATCTCTCTTTTCCATGAAGTCATCTTTTTGAATCCTCACAGGAAGGAAGTAAAAAAATAAATAGATAAATAAATAAAATAAACTCTTGTACTACCTCTTCGGTTTGAAGCATGAATTTTCAGAAGATTGGTAGAATCAAGTCCCATTATACGCATATTCTTCTCCGCCAATAAATTTAGTTTGTGTAACTACTGCTGAGAGTGGATAATGCTAACCTCCTCTAACATGTTTTTGACTCGTTTGAACCTTAGACTGTTGCCACTGTGGTTGGTCATCGAGATTACTCTTTCGCATCTGCATGGCACCCTGATGGACAAACCTTTGCTACCGGCAATCAGGATAAGACTTGCAGAGTGTGGGATGTCAGACGCTTGTCATCTCCAATTGCCATTCTCAAGGGTAACCTTGGGGCTGCTCGATCTATTCGCTTTTCTTCGGATGGCCAATTTATGGTGGTTGCTGAACCTGCTGATTTTGTGCATGTGTATAGCACGAAGGCTGATTACAAAAAGCGTCAAGAGATTGATTTCTTTGGGGAAATTTCTGGGGTCTCTCTCAGTCCAGATGATGAGTGTATGTACATTGGAATCTGGGACCGTACTTATGCCAGCTTGCTTCAGTATAATAGGAGGCATTCGTATGGGTACCTTGATTCCTACTTGTGAGCATGATTCATCTGAAGGATTATCAACATCGTTAATGTTGGATTCATGGAGCACTCCTTTAAATCTTATCATTTCTGGAGGCAACATCACGAGATATTTTTGGTTTACAGGAGGTCACACTTGTATAGTTCATTAGCGATAGTTACAGGCATCAAACCTGTGTTTTTCTGTTGATGTGAATGCCACCGGCAGGAATTGGGAGCTGCTATGTTTAAGTGATGCTCATAGTCTTTCATTAATAACTGCTTTCTTTATTACTTAATGAAAATAATTGCTCTCTCTCGGGGGGCAAACAGTTTAGTTAACGTGCCGTTGGACCTATCTATGTCGGTATTGTAACTAATGCTGATACATTTTGATTTTTTTAGGAGACGTATCTAAAAATATTGAAATGTTATTAATTAAAATTGATGAAGCATTGGAGTATCCTTAAAGGCAATTTTCTAAGAAACTAAGTTGTCATTTTATTTTGCCAACAATTAGATTTTGTTTTAATCATTTTATTTCTACTATCTTTATCATTTGCTTTTAAAATAAGTTATTTTTTCTACAAGGAGGCAGTGGAGGATGAAAGAGATTAGTTTGGTTTATCTATTTTGATGTAAATTCCTTGAAGTTATGATTGCATTATCAGGAAAATAAATAAATATTTCATGATTTCAGGTGGCAAATTAGTTTGTAAATTCTTTTATTTCGTTTTATGTATTCTCTATATAATATGGAAAAATTAACATTGAAAACAAAAGGATTGGATTTTCTTAAGAAAAAAAGTATACGATATAATTAAAAAGAAATATTAGTTTATATTAGGATAGTGAGGTTTTAGCGACAATGAGATAAAGAAAAGTAAACACGTAGAAAAGGAAATATAAATTTGTGCTACTGATGAAATTTAAATTTCAAATAGCAGTTTAAAAATATTTATACTTTAAATTTAAAGAATCTGTTAATTAAAAAAGATTAAAAATTACTGTACTATAATAAATTTCCACCACCCTTTTTTTCTGGGCTAGATTCATGATTAGAACATAGAAAAAGAAAAGAAACCAACACCATGTAGCTCGTCACTATGATCATAAGAGTGGTATATAGAATTATGGTATCATCATCTAACATAGCCTGAGTAACCCAGTTAACGTATTTATAAACTTATCTAGAAGTATGATCAAAGATTGCAGTCCAACTATGAAGATTCCGTTCGTCAGCCTGAGTTATTCAACAAATTGAATTTAAGGAGCAGAGTTTTTGGGCTGAGACTAAGAATACATATTTTTTTTCAAACGACCACTAGAATAGGCAATTAATCATTGAGCAATCTGAAAATTTTGTAGTGAACCGAGTACATATATTCACATCCAAAAAACCTGAAGAACCACCGTTAAATGTTTTGACCAATATTTTGATTATACATTTGAGGTGTTCAGAAAATAAATAAAACTCTGGAGTATTACATCGTCTTGAGCAAAATAAAACATTCAATCGAAGACACAAAATTCTCCATCCTCTGACTGGAAATCAATTGGTGAATATCGGAACAGTTTCACACAATTGGCCTTATCAATCTTCATTAAGAGCCTTCATCAAATAGAGTCTGTTGAAGCTCTGCCCTGATACCCTGCGAAACAAGCAACCAGAAATGTAACTACGAAACCCTCAGGATATGGCCATGAAAAAAGGCCAATGGATCCAAGTGCAAATTGGAGATCCAGGCCTTGCTTTTCAGATGATAAAACGAAAAACCATGTCTGCATCGAAATTCTATAAATCTTATGACATACCCATTAATTTGGTTGCAATAGTTGGCAATTTGATTTGTTATGAGAAAGCTGTCCAATCGCGATGGCTCAGGGATTGGCTTGAAAATGGGATTTGACGGATCTTCCTCAGGCAATGGGTCCTCTCCAGCAGCTTTACGTGCCATGTTTTCCGCCCTATAATCACAAACCAAAACAAGAGCTACAGTACCTTATTTGCAAGATGAAACCAAGTCCGCAGCACCAATGACATATAGCATTCATTTCCACTAGTCTAATAAAGCAGATTTTGCAACCACTTAAGACACTGGATTAACTCGCCAGGGTACTTTCAAGTGTTCGAAGATAAAGCCATGCTACCCACAACAAGGAATCTTGCCACTCAACTGCCAGTCTTCTGATTCCTCATTGATTTTTCTACACATACTTGAAGAAGAATTCTAGTCCGCGCACTACATATATTTTTTGGCCAGAACACCCCTAATTTTACTTCAGTTGAAGCCATCACTGCTTGAGTCAAAATTTTGTTACCACAAATTCTCCTTGGTATACTCCACTCATTAGTGGGTGTAACAAACTAATATTCCATTAACATGTAGCATGACTTCACAGAACTTGCAGAAAATGTGTCAAACATATCCCCTCATGCCTCAATAACCCTTCAAATGAACTAATATTAGTCGCATCAAAATGCTCCCAGGTTACTAAAGCCAAACCAGAAGCAGAAATCTTCAATCTCACTTCCATTTCCATTCAGTGAACCAAATATGTCAAATTTACACCCTGTTAGTACATCTTAATCCTCAATCTCAACTAAACGATACTAAACTGTTACACCAATTGTTGCCCCTTTTACTGATTGATTGATGATTGATAAAACATACACCAATTGTTATTAAATATGCATTTTTAGTCCAAGGCATTGTATATCAAATGAGGCCACATAAACCCAATAACATGTCAAACAATTATTTAAAGCCAATGGTTTAAGCACCAATTGACCTAGAGAATACCTTCTTTTCTGAAGCCAAGCTTGCTGCTGGGCCTGCTGGCGTGACAAGCTCCGGTAGTAAAATTGAAACTAAAATTTAAGAAACCTCAGTCAAATACATTTCTAAAAGAAAAAACAAAGAGTAAATTACTTCATGAAAATTCTAGGGAAATCATGTCAACCTTCTGCTGTTCTATTGACAAATCATCCATGCATTCGATCAAAAACTCCATATTCCTCTCCATTAATGAACTAGTTGACAATTGGAGACGATCATAATCACACTACAATGGCACAACAGATCAGAATATCACTTAAATTTCAAGGGACTAAAACAATCCATGTCACAGATCCTAGTTTACCTGGGTTACTGGTGTATCAGGTTCCAGCTCAGTCATAAAGGCACTGATAAGGGCAGAATTTGAAACTTTGATCTGATGAGAGATGCGATAAGGATGTAACAGAACCAACAAATTCAGAATATTAAGAAACTAAATCATGCATTTTCATTACCTAAACAAAATACGTACTGCACAAAATTTTGTCCTGATGCCAGGCACATTAAAAAGATCATACTAAATTGTGAAGTTAGCAAAACGACTTGATGTGGTCAATCATTTATCTATACCCCATTTTGAATTGAACACCATGCTCCTGGTTATTTATCCTCAAGGGCTTAACCTATGGGTCCTTATTTGCAAAATTTCCTTTCATTTAGGAAGTTTTATTTAGTCAATATTCAAAACAACCACTGTCATGGTTCAACCACAGTTGGACCAATAAAACATAAATGAACACCCTCAGGCTCAACTGAGGATCCAATATTCAGAACACTGATATTTTGCTAGCAGTTTGTATATCTCTTACCTTAAGGTTTAAAAGGACCAATCATCTAAAGGACATCTTTCCCCTTTTACTATATTGCATCCACTATAAATGAAATGCAGCAACATATGACATGCAAATGAAGATGCAGAAAGCGCCAAAGAGTTAGAAGAAACAACTTCTTTTATTAAAGTATTACATTTCTAATGCAAGAAATGCATAATACAAATAATTTAAAGGTAGAACAACAGAATTTGGAAAGCTTACAGGTATTTCCTCGAAGATATCTACCCATGATAGGTTTTTCTCCCTCAGTCTACTCCACAAAATGACAAATAAGAATCATTTTTTTAATACAAAGGAATCAAATTTCTCAATTTCAGGTTGAATGACATCTAAAAGGAAAATTCATACTTCTCCCCGGTAATATTATTGCTGCGATAGAGTTCCATGAATGAGTCAGAGAGCTTCAAGGCCTTCAGAGCTAGGACACCTTGATCAGACCTTGATGGATCATATATTATGCAAACACAGCGTCTTATGTTCTCCTGGAAAGAATTAGAAAACATGAAAATGATGAGACTGTTAAAAAAGTGTCTGCACAATAAACCGTGACATGGAAACATGAGCTTCCAAATTCAAAGATGAGAAATCATCCACAAGTTTTGGAGCTTAAATTCAGGAATGTAATACATATTCCATCCTCGGCCAAAGGTACCAGAAATTAGCGCAGCTTGTTGGACGAAATATTTCCTTTACTACTGTAAAATTTTCTTTGAAACTGTTGATTGAGATTGTTATGCGTGCAATATTTGCTATAGCCAATGTACCTACTTTATTGTCTTGAAGCAGCAACAAGTGCTAGCTAGAAAACAAAGGCGAGCCTGAGGAAGGTAAGCATTGAGGGGGATGAAAACTGGGGCTGTCAGCCAAATAACAAGGCTTTTATGCTGCAGTCAGGATGTTGGTTTCCTTTCCCTTAAAAACTTCAGCTAAGTATATTTATCCACCTGTCATAATTGCCTCCCATTGATTAACTTTATTTGAAAATGAGTTTCATTTTTTGGACGGACATTAAAAAGGATTTCTTCATATTATTTACATTCGATAGCATAAATATCAATTTGTACAAAATACCACATCTAAATTAAAAGTACGAAGGAAAGAGTTTTTAGCCATTACCTGGTAATTCATGAAAGTTTCAATTAGCTCCACAGTCTGAAAGGAACCTAGCAATGTAGACTGATACCTAGAAATTTTCCATGAATTGTCCCATGCACAGTCAAAGATATTAAATTTACATAGAGCGGACCAAAGTTACAATATTTTACAATATTTGAACACATTTAAAAACCTGTTGGTGCATCGGGAAAAAAAGAACTAATTGCAACCCACAGTACTGGTAACTTATAACTTATGCCCCAATAACATGCATACATACACTTAAGAGGCTGCTCAAAAGGATAACAGTAATTTACTTCTTTGCCCACAAATTTAAAAAGTCGGAGTTCACACTGAGCAATTTTTTTTTTTTTTAATTATCACAACAGTCTTAATACAAAAGAAATCAAGAGAGACTAGGAAGAAGTTTGTAACTTAATATACAGGCCATCCCCTTCTTCCCCCATCGTGTGCAAACTATAAAGTCTTAAAATCATCAAACGTACCATCCAACAGTATTATTGTCAACATTAACCTCCCTCAAGCATCTCATCATTTCGAGCTGGTAATTAGCACCATCGGCCTCAATTTCCTCATCCTCTTCCCTTATCTGTAATTTTTAGCAACAAAAATGCTAGTAACTGCAGCAGGGAAAGGATAACAGTATAAGAGAAGGAAGAAAAGGGAGTTATACAATACCGGAAAGGGGAAACAGTTAGTAACTTCAAGAACACTGCCAACATCAAGCCCAAGAAGTTGTCCAGTGACCAGTGTAGGGGAATGATCCTTGCAATGTTTAATTATCTTCAAGATAACCTGTTCCATAGAAATTCAATTGACGGGGGAAAAAACTTATGAAGCCACAGCAGTCAGTGTATCAACATTATGAAGAAACAGCTTGAATACTCTCTTACAATTCGAAAAACAAACTAAAGAAACGTTGCAAACTTACATCCCATATATTTCAACATAAAACACTAGAAAATTAAAGAATAAAATGAGAAATATAGTTCAGGCATGATATAATAGATGCACCATGAACACAAACTACAATGTTGAAAAGTTTCCATAAACAACACAAAATCCTTCGTTTTTAGAAAACAAAGGGCTGATAAACATGCACATGCGAACAAATTATATGCTTTCCTAAAATTTCCAACATCTTGAGGCAAAAACAAATTAAGAAAGACAGTTACGACTAGTAGTATCCTTCACAACCACGTAAAAGGACGTTTTATATTGCTTTATAAATATTTTTTTTTCCTTTTCTTCCATGCATATTCTGAGAGAACTGTGCCTTTTACATCATCCTCAGCAATTAAACTGCAGGGAACAATTCGATTCAGAAGAGAACAAAAAAAAAAAAGTACCAATCCTTCCATCTGGATCACTCGAAGAGGGGGTACAGCCTCCTCAGTTGCCGCCACTTGCAGGAAGGACTTAGCCATAGCTGCACAGTACAAGACACCATTGAAGACGACTTAATGACAGTATTAGTGTGCTCGTGTGCATAGCAAAAGAAAAAAACGTCGTTTGGAGCGTACTGTTAGCCATGTTTGGAATGTCCCCGTACACTCTCCAAGCAGAGGGGAAGCTGCGGTATGAGCCCTAGTACAGAAGAAACCCTAGACCGGAGAGATGGCAGCCGCGGAGAGAGAGAAACTCAGTGGTTTCCCTGAAAAATTGGACTGAGACAGAAGCCGCGCCCAGTATGATATGTGGCAAGGCGAAGCCCGTCTGGCCCACCTTTAATGAGCCCAGATCAATATCATTTAAAAAAAACAGTTGTTTATAAAAATTAAAAAACAATTATAAAATTCTGCCAAGAAAACCAATTACAAAATTTATATATTTTAACAAAAAATAATAAATTTATGGAAGTCCTAGTATGTGCATTGTATAAACAGTGAAGCCTTTTTACCCATATAATCATGTTCGATCTATTTTTCACACATTTTTTAAGTTTCATACTAGTTTAATTTTATTTCTCCAACATATCTCTGCATTATCCGATTGGATTTAAATGTTAAAAGTGGTATGATATCTAAGAAATTTTTAAGCAATTATCTTTTATGTACGTATCATGTATTGCACGAAAAATAATATCTAGCTATATTTTATTTTTATTAAAAAATAAGTGTTATTTTTCCAAAAAATAAAAGAAACAACCATCACATGTTCTCACGGTTATCTAAATTTCAAATGTAAGGATTTCATATTTTCATATGATTTTTTTTTCACCTCGGATTTCATATAACTTTAAATTTAAACTTTCAGAAGGCATCGATTCCAATGTCAATCACCCATACATGGTAAACGTCATGAACAAAATATCAAAACACAAATTTTTTTGCCCAAATATACCAAATACAATTTAATTCACGACGTTGCATGTGTGTGTGTGTGTGTATCTCCAAGTTACCTCCCTCCTATGTGACAACCATTCCATAGCGGTTTTCATACGATCCCCCATCAGCCACGTCGAAGTTCTATTGGAATGTTAAAAAGCGATAAATCTTCCGTTTAGATGATACGCCATATTTGCATTTTCAATCTAAAGTAAGATTAATATAATAAATTATTGATCACTTCCTAAACTTTACCGAAATCAGCTTTGAATTTGTCTTTCAGCATCATCTTATGCTCACAAACGTTTTTAGTCTATAAATTAATATTTTCCAAAAATTAACGCTCAAATTACAACATATTTTCAATTCAATGCTTATTCGTATTCCTAATTTATGCCCCCTTGTGAATTTGGGCCTGGTGGGATTTTGGACAGTAATTTGCCGACCATGAGACATTTAGATTGAAGATGCCATTCTGACTTTGAAGGGGATTCTCATGTGTAAGTTTGAGGCACTTATTATTTAGTTTATTACGCGAATAGATTCTCGTAAGTTAATACCATAGTGCTGAGGACATGCAAGGGCAGCTCCCGTTTCGTAGCTCCGTCCAGGATATAAGGGAGAAATACCATAACAACTGTTACTTGCATTTAAAAACATTATAATTACATGCGGGAACCCGGAAGCAAAGCTTCAACACTAAATCAGAATTCAACCCATTTCATGAAACACATTCTGATGCACGGTAGTCGTAATACTAAAACTTCTACCAATTCGCGCGCGCGCGTGTATGTATGAGAGAGAGAGAGAGAGAGAGAGAGAGAGAGAGAGTGAGAGTGTGTTTGTAGAGAACTCCCTAACTAGCCAACCCTTTAACAGATTCCTATCTGCCCATTAATTCATTTGATCCTTTGAATTATCTTCAAGGAACCCTGGTCGATGATCAATCAGCAAGCTGTATAAAAATATTTAAATTAAAACGCCTCAAAATTTTAGGAGCCAATTATATCAATGTGGAAGCGGACACTTCCACCCTTCATCCCAGACAATAGTCATGCGAATAAAGGCATTTCTCACATTCAGTACTACCAAGGTTGCACTCGTGCTCCATCCAAACCACTTTGACTAGAAGATCCAGAAGTCCAAAAATCCCCATTCTTATTTTGGGCAAACAACTTGTTTTTGACGTTGTCGTCCTCCTCGTCATTGTCAAAATCCAAGTCCTCAAATAAATCCTCAAAGCCATCATCATAGCCATTTTTGAAGTTATCAATCTCATAATCATCATCATCTTCGTCATTATCATCCGTATCAATATCATTACTAGCACTGACACGACCAACATCCTTGTCAAACCTAGACTTTCTTCTTTCCCATCTCATTCTTTTGGATTCCATGGCCAAAGCCAGCCATTGATCTTGTAATACCAAAAGCTTTTCATTCTCTAACAGGTCACCCTTCTCATCAAACTTCTCAACCAAGAACACAGAGTCTCTTTGCCCTTTCAAACTAACATAAAATAACTCCGGGTGCCTCAGGATCATCCCCCTCAACTTGTTTGGGAGCCCAAACTCCTTCCTGAAATGGGTCAAGTGATCTATCAAAGTCCTCTTTTCAACCATCATTCCAAGAGCCTCTCTTACTAGAGCACAAGATCTCTTCTCTGCCTCAGCTGATTTCTTTTCCAGACTTTCAATAGGGGTCCTATAAGGACACACTTCGGGCATTTCTTCAAACTTTATCAAAAAATCCTGGTGGCGTCTCTTCAAATTAAGCCCCTTTCGAAGTCTCAGTTGCTTAAACTTCAAAGGTCTGTCAACTATTAAATCAAAAGAATGGAATGTAGGAGAGGGCAAAGACTGCGCCAAGCTGGAGTCCCAGGATACAAGCTCAAGTGCACGGCCATAGGAAGTGTCAACAGTTTTAAATCTATCAGGATGGTCATTGCAAAGCCTGGATCGAAAACTAGGAGGAAGCCCAAGATCCGGAGCAAGGTGAACCAACTTTGACAAAAGGAGCCGACGGTGAGAAGATAGCATAAGAAGTTTCTGGAGTTTGGTTGCCAAGGTGGTGGAAACGGCATCTTTGAGACTCAATTCCTCAGCAGCAAGAGATGCTGCAGCTGGAGTTAGACGAACACAGAGTTGAGGATATGGCTTTGTAGCATTGAGCGGCGTGGGCGGATATGGTATAGTGAAGAGTTCAAAAACGGATGGATAGCGATGGATCATAGCAAGTAAAGAACGAGGTGAATAAAGATTTAGATACGACCGGCATTTTGTAAGTATGTGAAGTGGAAGATAGTGCTTTGGCTTAGAAAGAAGTAAAGTCAGCAGTTTTTGAACAAAACGAATTTTATTCTTATTAACAACATGCCTGTCAAGTGACCTATCCCGTACAAGTTTGAGAGAGGAGCAAGAAACTGAAACTGAAACACTGCCAAGGCAGTTACTATGTCTTTGGTTCCTGCTATTGTGGAAGAACATCGGAATTTCACCAGAAAGGAAGTTGGAATTTAGGGAAGCAACTAGCCAGTCATTTCTGAGTGAGGAATAAGGGCGCAATGCCATCTTTAAGGGCTTCAAGCAATCACGTATCCAGAAGCTGCGAAAAAAATTAGTAAAAGAAAAAAAAAACAATGAATGAATATTTTGAAACCATGGGGTGGGATAGGAGTACCTAAGCCAGACTCTCAGATTTCGTGCGACATAGTTCTCCCTCAGAACACATAAGGTTATGGGTAACAACGTCACTCAACTTATCAGCAGTTTATTTTACATGAGTTTACAACGGATACACCAAAGCTCACCAGTGTCATTGTGACAACAAAAATCTGGCTATCAGAAACTTCACTCTACAATTAAAGTTCACTGGTTGCACATATACTAGCATTCTAGCCTCGACAGAAAGAACGTGAAGGAGTACGAATTCTATTAAGTGAAAAATTGAAAAGATAAAGCTGCATAATTTTAAACTTAAAAATCATAAAATTACTTCTTTGGCCGTAAAAAGGGGAAAAACATGAAATTATAATAACCATAAAATCATGAAATTCTAAGAACCATAAAATCTAAGTTACATTTTAAAAGCAGAAATTATCGGCAAAAGAAAGATTTATGGCATTTAGCCATCAAAAGAGCAACACGAAGCTGCATATTAAGAGGCGAATATCTTTATCTGCTTATACAAATCAATCTAGCTATATCTCTGTGACCGAGGCTCAAGAAATTGAAAAGTGCAAATATCCGAAAACTCAAATGAAAAATCTAACCAATTAGGCAATATGAGCCAGGTTCGGCAAAGAGACTTGTTAATTTGCTTAAGGTGAACAAGCAGACCAAGTGAAGGAGAGAACGAAGGCGGCGGACTGCGGACTGCGATTCTGCGAAGGCCGAAGGTGAAGGCGTGAAGGATGGGCGAAAGGATGAAAGCCGAAGTGCCGAAGGTTGAGGAGAAGATCGAAGGTGAAGGGGAAATTGAAGGAGGAGGGCGCACGTGACCGCGCAGCCGGCATCATAGGATGAGATTTTTTTTAAGGGCAGAATGGTAAAGTATAGCTAAAATTTAAATCATTTAATAACTTTAACTTATAACATATATATATATATATATATACACAGACACATGCGTACACACACTCCATTATATATATAAAATATTTTTAAAAATTATTTTATTTTTAAATATAAGGAATGATAACAATATTTTTTAATATTAAATAATTTTATTTTTATCTTAAAAAATAAAATAAATTATTAATTATATTTTTTTTACTATTATATGATATTAATTATAATATTATTAGAAATTAAATTAAAAAATTATTATATTCTTATAAAGTTTAATTAAATAACAAACATGAAATTCGATTAAAAATAGAGGGGGGATATGTATAGGGGCAGCGACAAGCACCTTCTCTCGTGACTTGTCGTCTCAATCAAGTCCCTACTCGGCTACTCCTACCCGCAACCCGCCCTCCGGGGCTAGCTCGTCTTTACTCAAGAATTGCCATTTGAAGGGAGTAATTGGTTATTTTAAATTATTTATTGATATAATATCACCCATCGAATATTAAAATTTCTGAAACTGGCATCTATTATTTATCATCTGCCCAGCTGATGTCTTTTTACAATAAAATAAAAGTTTTAATCAATAATCACTGGTTTGTATCAGGCATTGTTGAGTTGTTTTTTTTCTTTTCCAGTGATTTACTATACATTAAAAAGTGATCGGAGGCTTCAAGCATGACGATCAGACGTAGTTACATACAGATGTGAGATATAAAACTAACTGGTTCCTAACCTTTGAAGATGTAATTTTATTCTCAGTAATAATAGTTTCATGTTAGCTAGGCTATTTTCCTGCTAGTGTCTGATCCCGTTTCAAGTTAAGAATAACAAAGATTACATACGACATCCATCCACTCGACTCCTCTAGCTTCAGATTCCTTGATTCTCTTGAAGAAATCAAGGTCTGACTTTGGACATTTACGTGTAAAACTTCAACTTCATTATTTAATTTGCAGTGATGTTTCAAGCATAATTAACTTGAAAAATGGAATGAATTAATTCTTACATGCAATTCTTCGGACAAGCGGACGACTTGATGATGGGAAAGAGACGGAGTTAATTACTCATATAATTTTCTGAGAAGCTATTATACTCGTTTAATTTATATATATATATATATATATATATATATCATCCCATATATTATGCTACCGTGTGTCTTGTGTACTTCAGGTTGCAATTTCCTTCTGTTACGTTCTTTCAATTTCACACCCGGCCCGATGATATTGCTAGCTGTGCTTATGTATGTATATGCCTGTGCACTTGCTTATGGGTGCAGCTTCTATCCCTCCTCTCCAGGTATTGGTATAATTAATTAAGTATGAATTTTATTTTGAATTATTGTCAGGATCGATAACTCTAACTTTGATGCTTGTGTGTGTGTAGCTAAATATAGGTAAATTCAATCGTTATCATGGCTAAATAGAAGTAACAATTTTTAACATGACTTCTTTTTTTTTTTTTTTTACAAGGTTTGAATCATCGACCTTTAAGAAATTTTGAGTTATTTTTATTTGGCCCAAATATCACTGATAGTATGTACTTTTTTTATTTTCTCAAATATTTATATCAGCAAATTAAAGATAGATGTATAAGTATTTCTTTGACCAAGGACATGACTATACATATATATAATATTGCTAGACACCAAATTATAGAGCTTGTATATGAATTTTAATTTCTGGATGAGGATAGTACTTGGGTCTGGAAACCGAGTGAAACTTCTGTCCTGCAGTTGCATATAATGAAGCACTACTGGTAGGAGGAAATTAGAACACTGCAGGAAAGAATGAATGATGATTTTTAATTTGTTTCTGCCTGTTAGCTAATGAATTCATATGAAATAACATCATTAATTTGTTACCAAATTAAAGGCATAGAACCAACCATTAAAATATCAGATTGATTATTTTGTTTTTTCAATAATTATACAACTATCCGTCATATTCAGAGAAAATAACATAAAAAAAGTGTGATATACTGTGATTACGTGTTATTTACTTTTTATTTTTACTATCATCCCCTCTCTCTGATTCTCTTGATAAACAGTAAACACAACATTTTGTAATAGTAGAGAATCATCGTGCTGAAAATGCTTCATGCTGACCTTTGGGAGCAATAATGCATGATACTGATAATCAGAAGGCTCAATATATTGATTTGTAATGCAAAGACACAGAAGAAATGGTACTGCACTAATTAATATTGCACCTAGCTTAGTACATTTGTTGGAAGAAATCAATTTATCTTAGACAAGTGACATTAACATCAACATCAACTAGCTCATGATCACCTCTAGTACTTTTAGAATCAATCTCAAGAGGTGCTGTTTCATGGCAATATCCTTCAATAATATTCTCAGTTGCAGTGTAAGAGAACAGGTTTACCCTATAAATTTCCTCTAAAGTACAATGCTTTGCCACTGCTAGAATATCCGCCATTGACCTTTTCTTGCATCTTCCTTTTCTTCTTCTTCTTCTGTCCAACTTGGCTGACTTTGATGAAAAATTCAGCATTTGGCTGCTCTTTTCGACACAAACTCGGGGTGAAACTGAAATCACACCCACTTCCTGCAGGCTGCTCATCATCGCTTTTGATCTTTCTTCCTTATTGGAGAACAGACCAGAATCACTGTGGTTCGTAATATTCTGCTTCTTCAGTTCAAGGGGATCATAATGATGTTCTGGTGATGATTCAGGTTTGAAAACTCTAACATTCTTAGCATCATAATCTTGATCACAAGGAGCAATATTCAAGTTTGGCAAGTCATTATGTGATGACTCAGAAACCAAGTCATCACTACGCTGCACGAAAGGTGGCAACACATTTCTCAGACCTCGATCAAGACACATTTGCAGGTATTTCTCTGGAAATGGCCAGCTTTGAAGGAGATTTCTCTGACGGGAAGCAAGAGCATACTGTCTGCAACAAATATATATAAACAATCAAAATCCTTCTTTTATTCTCAACAAATTCGTTCATAGAGAAGCAGTACTGAGCTCAAATCATCAAATTTGTGAGGCGTTGAAAGCTTATGGACAAATTATAACCAAACGCCACAGAAGTGCAAACACAAGTAACGAAGGTAGAATTTAGAACCCACATGTGGATGATCATGACCAAAAAAAAGGTGCATGAGAAAGCAATGGCTAACAAGAAGCAATGAGCTGAGAAAATTATCAAAGTTGTAAGGGTTTGAAAGATTATAACGAAATTATACCTAAACGGCACTTCAAATCACTGAAGTGAAAAGGATATGAAGGTTAAGAGATCAGATGAGGGCAAATAGAACATGCAATAATGATTCACAAAAAACCAGATAAGCACGGATATATTCGTTGAGACAAAATTTGCGGGCGTAGGTTGTACCTTATTGAGAATGTTTTAACATCTGCTTCACCTTCACTGTTTATTTCCTTCGAATCAATTTGTTGCTGTTGCAGAGAGCACAAGAGCGCATGTGGGTTTTGTTGCTGAGCCAACATTTTTCCGCCAAGATTGAATTCCAATTTCGGTATAATTAGTAAAGGATGAACTTTTAACCAAAACTACAACAAACCCAGATTGGATTGAAGACTTTGGAACACTATATATGAAGCGGAGATGAAAAGGCTCATAAAATTACGAACCCACAGGAGCAAAATTGATACCCTATAACAAGCAAAAGAAAAATCAGAGATATTTAGGCACAAAATCTAAAAGTGGGTTGCCAGAACAAGATTACCCATTCAATAAAATATAAACAAAAGAACGAAACTAGAATAGCTGATTGAGTTTTCCAGCGAAACAAAACAAGGTCCTTCACACAGAAAAAACAGACAGAGGTAACAAGAAAAAAGCTTTGAAATTGCAGAGGAAGGGAAGAGTCAAGTAATACGGGTCACGGGTCGGTTTCGGAAAATGGGTGACGAAGCCATTGAAGTTGAAAAAAGGAGAAAACGAGAAAGAGCGAGGGTGAGAGATGTTAATAAGGTTAGAAGTAGCTAAGCGAGAAAGCGGTAGTGAAAGTACCAAGAGAGCGTTCTATCTTCTGTTTGTTGTCTTTCTTTGGGTTTGTTGTTTAGTTGACTTGCTTTAACCATTTCTAGCGCAACTATGTGCCGAATTTAATGTTGTTAATATTATTAACTTTTACTGGTTGGGTTTTGCTTTTACATAGACTTGGGTCGTGAGAAAAAAGCGGTTCTTTACCCTCTCTCTTTTTTATTTTTTTCCTCTTCATTGTTCAATCGTTCGTCACTATCTAACAAGATTATGATTAAAATTAATTTATTTACTGAAATCAAAATAATTAAAAAGAAGAAGAGAGAAAAAAAAGTGACGAGGTCCTCTTAAAAAAAAAAAAAAACAGGGCATTTTCACAAAGTTCATGCCTTTTCCCGGACATGAAAACTGACACTCGGATCATTTTTTATTGCGCCTAAACAACATTAGAGAATTGAAACCAAGTGGTGATAAAGCGGAGATTTTGTAGAAGTCGAAGTGGGAAAAAACAAATGGCAAAATCAAAACAATCGACGATCTGGGATGGCTTAATTACTAATCAAGATCTCACCTTTTGTTGTTCAGTGGTATATAATATATGGATATCATCATACTCATATGCAGGGCAAATCCATATGGTGATGGAAAAGAGGTACAATAAGGTGAAGCCGAAGACATCGGCGTGTCAGTTTCCAGTACTCGGCTTCACCATAAACAACTGTTTGTATTCTTTGGCAGTATCTGGAAGACTGGAACGAGTTTCTTTTCGTTTGCTGATTTGTACCGTTGAGTTTCTTTTTTGGCAGGCTTACCTAAGCAGACGTACCAAATGGAAGCTCATCGAGCTAGGCTAAATCTAAAGCCTAGCACTTAAAGTCATTTTGGCTTCTCCAGTTTGAACTTTTAAGAGTAATAAAAGCCGATAAGGAGCAGTTGGCGTTTAATCATGACTATCCCTTCACAATTTCTGCAGAAAAAGCTTCAGCGGATGGAACGAAGAAAAAAGTTTCTGATATAAGAGAGGCCAAATTGAAAATGAACTAATAGATCTGGTATTATCATCTCATGATTATTACTGATGATTATCAAAAACCTAAGTTCTTTGTTTGTGTAGTTCAACCACCAAGTCACTCCTTCAGATCTTGACAAGAGCATTTAGTACCACATAGATATGTATTATGATATCTCGAGTCATTATTTGATTGATTTCTTTTATGGGAAAATTACTTATCATACCAAGGGATCAGACACACCTGTAACGCATGAAAGATAGAGTTTTAGTATATATTTGGAGCGTTTTCTTTCAGAGTTATGGGTTATATCTAAATTGTCATGTTGCGGATTCTATATTACCGAGGACTGTGAGATGCTTTTATTTCTTTACATTAGTTCAAAATATACGTGTGTATATGTTGGTATATATGCTTGCATGTGTCGAGAAATAGGTGCCTGTGAATATTCCTTAATTAATCTTGCAAAACATTATTAGGTAATGAGGCATCCCTGCGCTCTGCCATGGAAACATGAATTATGACGAGTTGGCTTTGGTTTCAAATATGGGTAGTCAATATTTTTGATATTTCAGATAAGAGGGAATGAAGCAGAATCCGTATTAACAACGTGGGGTATATTCACCTTGACTTTAATATGAACAGAATAATTGCAGCCTATATCATACATCGCAAGAAGGTATATGGATTCCACTTTATAGGTTAGCCACAATTTTTTCACCATATAACTACGAGAGCTCGTAGTTCTGAGTCATATTTTGGAGCAATAAATTAATGATGTATAATTTCTTTTGAAACAGGGTTTCGGCAATTAATTAACTCAACTCGGGAAAGAGGACGATATATGCTGCCCTTTTCCATTTCATTTCCTCTGCCATGCTTCTCCACATATATAGTTTTAGTCGAAGAACAAAAAATCTTGTAATTATTACCGAATTATCATTATCAACATGTAAAATGATTCCGACGACTGGTGATCATACTCTCATATATATAGCATGGGACAGTACACACATATATTATTCAGTATACAACTTGAGATGGAGAGTTTAATTTCTTGACAAAAGAGTAAACAAGAATATATAGATATTTTATAATATACATCTATTGCCATCCCACACTAAACAAGGTGATCATCAGTGAAACTAGAGCATTATGTGTTGTTATTATTTAGCAGAGACCCAGCATTTTTCCTTTGGGTACTTGTGGAATTTTTCCCACACTAATTTTTCATGTCATGCTGATTATCCAGACAATCACAGTATATCAGATCATTCAGTACAATATGAGGATTGGAGCATAACACTGGAAAAACCTGATATATATATATATATATATATATAATTTTATTTTAATTTTTGGGACGGAAGAGATATATGTACATCAGTACATAGACACGCATCTATATATATTTTCATTGCCAACAGAATAAGACATGACAGAGAGTTTTCATACTGTATAGTAGTGAAAATCTACAACATTCGCAAGTGCAGATAAATTTTCTTCCCGGCACACTTCAGGAAGTCTATTTTTCTCTTATTTTTTTAGATATTTTATCTTCTATAAACAAATCAGGAGTGTAATCCAGCGGCGCCAATAACTTTATCGTGTGAGTGATGACAAGGTTTTAAAAAAGAGACAAGAACGAATGGCATTGAGATTGAAATAATTTCCCAAAAAAAAAAAAACAATATACAAGGCAAATGATGAATATAATTTTATTTCACAACAAATATTGTTATTATTATCATCATGGCACATTAAACTTCACACCTAACTATCTAAATTAAACCACTAAGCAGATCCCCGGGGGTTGAAAGTTATATATTAAACATGCTTCCACAATGGTGATGAAGGTACGTAATATGCAGTCATCAAGAAAATGAGAATATCGATCTATATTTATAGAACAGCGGAAACAAGAGCATTAGGGGAATAAGCAGAGAAAAGTAATCAGGTTGTGGTTATTTAATCATTGTGTGAATTCATTAAAAAAATTATTCACCAATCTCTTCTTCAAAGACATTAAGACTTAATTTGAGCCCTAATACAATGTGTTTAACCGTATATGACCTGCCAGCCTATTTATAAGAAACATGAGTATAATATCAAATCGTCCACTCACAATATAAACAAAAACATATTACGCCAACCAAAATATTAATTGTCTCCAGCAGATATATATATATATATGTATGTATGTATGTATGTATGTATGTGTATGTGTATCTGGTCACCTGAGGAATAATACTTGGATTATAAATTTATGCTGCCGGAGTGTAAGAGTTCAAGTTAACGAGCCTCTTGCTCTTTATTTTTACTGATCTTGAATATAGTTTGAAGCGTAACAATATTGTTTCAAGTTTACATTGCCGCTTGTAAGCCGCCAGCAGGAACATTAAAAATCATGCATGCGAGAAACATAATCCATAATTAAATATGCATATATACATATATATACTTATACCTGCTGCACCAATCATAAGGGGAAGACAATTAAAACTGGTTATGAAACTGAGAAACTTGGCTTGGATTGGAAGCAACATTGATCTAAATCGTCCTCGAGTTTTTGAATTGTCTCTGAAAGCCTCCTATTCTCCTCACTAATGGCCTCAAACTGGCAAACTATACCTTCAATCTGAGCTTCAATGGCTTCATCACTCAACTCGAAGGCACTTTCCAGAACTCTAATTACCCTCCACAGCATCACTACCACAACCAGACCTCCTCCTTTCTCCTCCAAGAATCCTTCCAAAACCAAAGCCCCAATCACCACACTCCCATCCACAACATACCCACCATGCCTGAAGAAGGACCACCCTAAGCCCACCAATAAAGCCATCGTCTTCACAGAAAGCAAACCCAGGATCCCGATCCCAACCCAGTGGAGAATAAACCCAAGTTCTGCAGCTTTCTTTTGTGTTCTGTTCTGACAGGAACTTAGCAAAGAGGAGGACAGCTCGAGGATGGTGATGAGGAGATCCAGTGCGAGGAAGAGGACCGAGAACATGTGAACCCATGTTGATTCTAGGAAACTAACCAAATGGGTCCGCCAATTTGGACCAAAGTTTTGATCTAGAGGAACTTGGGTTCTGGGTTTGGTGATGGAGAGGAGGTGAAGCCATTTCTGTCTTGCACGCCACGAGTTTATCAGAGTTTGGATTGATGAATGGAGGATTTGTATGGAAAGCGAGTCATGATCAGAACTGGGGGGTTTGGTTTGAGAGCAGGCATGGATGGATATGGAAGAAGTGTTCATGATTCAGTTGTGTGGATTAATTTGGGAGGTACAAGGAGGATGATATAATATTAGTAATGGAAGAAAAAAATGACACACGCACGCACGCACGGTTTGTTATAAGAATTACGTGATGGATATGAAGGTGAAGTGAAAGTCAGGATTGAAAGGTTTTGCATGCTTCGGGGTCACGTTGGTTGGATATATGATTGTCGTCACTCAGAAAAACTTTAAGCGATCATGGGCGACTGCATGACCTTGATTTGCTTAATGGATTGAAGAACAAAATTAAATCTTTTTTTCCTCTTGCGAAATTGAATATTTAAGGGTTCTGCTGCCATTGTTACTTATGTGAAAAATTACATGATGATCCTTATAATTAGTCGATATTAACAAAGTAGCTTTGGCTTTATTTGCCATCCTTTTGCTGGGGTGCCTCGAGTTTTTGTAAATGCTGCAACATAGTATTTAGTTTTGCGTTGGCGTATTGCCCCGAGATGCGATATGATAAGGATCTGCATAAGATTTATTTTTTTTCCCAAATAAAAAGACAGTTTTGGTGGTGTGATGTGAATGATGAACTAATTAAATTAATAATTGCCCATTGTGGGTGCGCGAAAGCAATATTGTCGTATCTTGAAACTCTTTAAGTCATTAGACGGGCAAAGCAAAACCATCTCCCTGAAAATTTATGAAAAACAGAATTGCACTTCCACATGTCTCTTGCCATACTATTCCCTAATTTGATTTCGTGTTATTTCTTGCCAAATACAACATCTCTCTCATTGACTCTTTGTTGTCAAATGTTTGGTCAGCATCATTGACATCACATTCATCAAGAAATTTAGGCCCTATTTAATATGCAGGTCTCAATTTAAAAAGATTAAGATTAAAATTGAAATTGAAATTAGAATTAAGATTAAAATTGAGAATAAGGTTTTAAAATCATGTTTAGCATAAAGTGATAATACTTGTGAGGAATACTTCCTTTTTTTTTATTTTATAATTAAATGTAAATTATGAAATATTATAATACCTCTTGAAATTAAAAAAAAAATTGATTAGAAATCCCTTCAAAGAAACTGTTGGTTTTTATTCAATTTTGGCTATTCTTTTTTTGCGTGCGTCCTTTTTCTATTACTTCCTAAGCTTCTTGTTCGCATTCATAGCAGATCACAACCACAATCTCTTGCCTCTCTCTCGCAAGAACAAAGCCATGTCCTAAAACCTAAGATTAATTTTTTAATATCAGAGGAGTGGTGGTATTGGATGATCCTATTTAGGTGGATTTGAGATTAAGATTAAATTTCTTATTCCTTCATACCAAAGATAAAAGGTGAGATTATTTAATCTCAATACCAATCTCATACTCATAATCATTCCTACCAAATAGGGCCCTAGTGTACTCCCCCACATATTTTCTTGTAATTTCATAATTTCATTATGCACACATTTTTGGGCAGCTTTCTGCATAGTTACCCTTTAATTCATTTGTCGTGAAGATATGAAGATTGTTTAATTATAAATTTTATTTAAATGATCTTGTATTTATGCAATATATTTACCTTTTAATATAGGAAAAATTACTCCAAAGTCCCTTATAGAAATTCTAAATACAGTAAGGTCCAAATGGATAAATACCCCCAAGGCCCATTTTTTTTAAAATATATTTTATGTTTAACTACTAAAACATATCCTTACTTTAATTACAAAAACTATTCACGGTTGATTACCAAGGCTCCAGTATAATTAAACAGAAAATATATCTAAAATAAAAAATTTGGAACTGGGAATAATTTGTCTATTTTATGGGACCTTATTATGTTTATAGTCCTTTGACTTTGTAGTGATTTTTCCTTTAATCTATCGGTCCCATTCAAAGCATTCTGATGTGTAAAATTTGCACAATGAATTACATGGCATTACTCTTATGTTGATTTATTATTAATTAAATTATTCTTTTTTATGAGTTAATTAAATTATTCTATATGAAAGATGACCGGATCCTTGCAGTTTTCTTCCCCCCCCCCCCCCCGAATTAATGCTACGCGATCAGAAGTTTAGAGCCCTTACCAATTGGCAAACATTTTTATTTTAATCCTGATTAGCAGAACTTGCAAGTTTTATTTTAAGTTCAAACCGTTCGAGATAGAACTGAAAAATAGACAGGACGAGCTTATATGGGCTGGCCATATAAGTAAGTCCATAAGTCCAGTTATATCAAAATTAATTATGTTATTGTTTACCAGCAGGCACTTGTCTAAGTAATTAAAATCTTAGACAGCTTAATTTGAGATCTCATATTTGAGCATCAAGGCACAGCTGAGCACGCAAATTGTGTCTCTCCAATAGTACCCGCAAAACCACCAAGTTAAAGGCTCAATCTACGCAAACATCTGAATTAATGTAAAATAGGATAGGTGGGCAATAAACTTAAAATACTCACACTCTTCAAAATACCCGATGAAAAAAAAAATGGTTATTTTTTAAATACCGATTCTTATTTAAAAAGCTTAAAGTTTGGCTCATAAGCCTGCACTTATTTTTTTTTTTTGTTTAAATTTTTAAAAATTAAATTTTTTATTATAATATTTTATATTCTTTTTTTTAAAATACAAATTATGACATTCAAATGTTAAAAATAAATAGTAAAAATTTTAATATTAAAGTATAAACAAATATAAACAAATATTCTAAAATTTAAATTTGGTTTAAAAGTTAAAAATATTTTTTTGGAATAAAATATAAATGGGCCACTCGAACCATTTTTTATCAAAATTTATCAGAATTAAGCTAAAGTTTAATTTCTTCAATATATGTTATTTTTTTAAACTCAAACTCTAATTTAACCTTTAATTATTTTTTTAAAAATTATTGGATGGTTTATATTATGAAATGGTGTGAAATAAATTTGTAATTATAAAAATTGATGCATCCGTCGCCTGTCATCTTCTTATTTTTAATAGGATGGGACCCCCACACTCTCTCCCTCCCTCTGCTTCATCCTCACTTCCATCTACTTCACTCACTCCTACCATTGCCCTGTTCCAATTAACGTACAGGGTTCTTGTTCGCCTGCCCTTTTCCCTACTTCTTCCTCTACCGCCACCGCAGGAAAGATAAGGTGGTTCTCATAATGGGCACCATTGGCTGCGAGGAGTCTCGCCTGTCCATCAACCTCGCCACTCGCTGCTCTTACTCAAAAGTTATCAACGTAGACAAAATGCAAGTTTCCTGCAAGCCTCGTTGGCCGCGAATGGATGCAAACTCTGCCTACCACCGCCACCACAGGAAAGATAAGGTTGTTATCATAATGGGCGCCACTAGCAGCATGAAGTTTTGCCTGTCCATTGACCTCGCAACTCGCTGCGCCTGCTGAAAAGTTATCAACATAAACAAAATGCAAGTTTACAAAGGACTCCACATCACCACTACCAAGATTCCTTTGGCTGAATGAAACAGCGTCCCACACCACCTCCTCGGAGATGTGGACCCTCTGAACGAGGAGTTCTCATCGTCGGATTTTCGCTTAGTCGTCAGGTCCATTATTTCCGATATCAGCTCAAGGAGGAAGCTCCCCATCATCATTGATGGGTCCCACTTGTTCATTCATGCTCTTCTGGTGGACCAATTTGACCCCACGATAAATGCGTTTGATGATTGTACATCGCCACTAAGCTCGATCTCATCCAAGGTACAATTGCTGCATCCTCTAGGTGGACGTGTCTTTCCCTCTATTATCGAATTACTTGACGAAGCGAGTCAACGACATGCTTGACTTGGGAATGGTGGACGAGCTAGCTCGATTCTTCAACCCAGAAGCGAGTGACTTTGTGAGAGTGAAGAGAGGATATGTTGGGGAGAGAGAGTGAAGTAGATAAAAGTGGTGATGAAGCAAAGGGAGAGAAAGAATGCGTGGAATTAGTTTAAAAATCATTTGCTCATAAAAAATGGGATCTTAGTGGATAAAACATGTCTCTATCTAATCCCCACAAGTTATCAACAGACAATATGTTATACCTCATACTGAAATACTCAGTATTCAACCTGCTGTAAGAGAAAACAACAACAACAACAACAACAAGCCTTTATCCCACTAGGTGGGGTCGGCTACATGGATTGCAAGACGCCATTGTACTCTATCATTTATTAAGCTTTTAGAAATATTATTAATTAAGAGATCACGTTCAACAACTTCCAAGAGTGTTCTCTTAGGCCTTCCTCTACCTCTCTTAATCGGACTCAAAGTTATATGTTCCACTCTTCTCACTGGTGCCTCCCTTGGTCTTCTTTGTACATGCCCAAACCATCTCAACCGATTTTCTACCATTTTTTCCTCAATAGGTGCCACCCTCACTTTTTCACGTATGTGCTCATTTCGAATTTTATCTTTACGTGTATGTCCGCACATCCATCGTAACATTCTCATCTCTGCTACTCCAACTTTATGCTCTTGCTGTCCCGTTAGAGCCCAGCATTCACTACTATATAACATTGCCGGTCTGATAGCAATACGATAAAACTTTCCTTTAAGTTTATTAGGCACCTCACGGTCACAAATAACTCCTTTAACTTTTCTCCAATTAAACCACCCAGCTTGAATTCTATGTGAAATATCTCCACTGATTTCGCCATCATTTTGAATAATGGCTCCCAAATATCTAAACTTTTCCACTTGAGGTATAATTTGATCTCCCAATTTCACTTCCAAATTATTTTCGAATAGTCCTTTACCAAATTTACAATATAAATATTCCGTCTTACTTCTTTACCAAATTTACAATGCTGTAAGAGAAAATGAAAGTTTTTTTTTTTTGGGCCAAACATATTGCAACGGAAGTTTAAAATGGGATCTTCAGTGGGGAAAATGCATATTGGACATTTTTCATCCCACATAACTCATCTATCGCTAGCTCACTTTGGGATCAAATTAGTCAGTCCAGTTAAAAAATGAACTGGGCCAAACCAAGGCTACACCATTTGATTATAAAATAAACAATTGAATATTGCAATAGATGTCATATTTCTATTTTCTAGATAGCAAAAAGAATACAAAATCCTATTTATGATTCATTAAAAAATGTAGTAGAAATAAAGGGCATTACAACAGAACAAGAAAGCTACAAGGCGGTACCCCCACCATCAGACATAAGAGACGCAGCAGCTGCAGCAGCAGTAGGAACAACTCCAGTTGAGATGCCTGGTTTTGATAGATGGAGAAGCCTGAAATTTTGATACCAAATGATTGGGCGTATCAGTGATTATATCAATAGAAACAAAAACTTTGATAATGCCATCGTAAAGTGTCAGTTTTAAAATTTCAATTGCCAGTCCACTCGGATTCAAAAGACCCTATGACTAATTCCCAGCGGCAAGGAAGACATCAGACAACAATTTCTTTGATTTGGATCCTCTGAAATTAAAAGTTTGTAAAATATATTTACAAAAAAATGTCAAATATCTCAGAAATAACAGAAAAAAGAGAGTGGGTAGTAAAAACGGACTCCATGCACGCTCATTTCTCGTGTCACTCTCTCTCTCCTCTCCCTCCCCCTCTCTATCCAGTGACATTTCAATCTTAGACGATTGAAGGGAAAGAAGGGGAATGAACAACTTGGAAAAACTCTCTCCTCCAAAATCTCTAAAATAGAAGGAACATAAAATCACAAGGGAGGACATACTTTCCAGGATTTTGAAAGGTCAGTTAAACTCACTGCAATATCCGCTATTTTTCCTTAATAACTCTCGACCAAGTAAAAAGTTTAAAGGTCACCTCTTTTCTTCCCTTTTCCTCAACTATCCCCTATCAAAACATGCCCTTAGTTTTATCAATAATTATGCAAAGAACATCAGCAAGCTATGACAAGAATGGATATAATGGCTTTCTAGTACAATCCACGTGGCACCAGCCACAGCCACCATGCACAGATAGAAAGGTAGCAGCTCTTGACGAGTACATAAAATTGTGCAATTCAGAAGACAATAAAGGCATCTTACGGTGCAAGGTATTCGCAAAAGGATGACACAGCAGAAACAATCTCCGTATAGGTTTCAGAAGTAGCAGGGGCTGTTACTTCAACCAGCTGAATACCAGGCGTTACTGGCACAGCCTCATCAGTTGCATGCAGCTTCAGCATTTTATTGATTGATGACACAGTTACAGTGATTTGTGCACCCCTGTTGAAATGGAAAGCAAAGCCCACCCTCAACAATTCATGGTCTAACTTGTACCCTAACGCATAAAACAAGCGGAGTACATTCTTGCTTGCTTTGCTTTCCACCATTGTCCTGACCAGAACTGAAATTTGCTCAGCACCAGCACCTCTCATTGCACCCCCTATATGTCTGACGGTCCTGCACCAAGTCATTACACATATAAGACACGCATACACGGGTATAAAATGGAGAATAAATGGCAAGAATAAATGGCTATAAAATTCATAATTAATACCATGATGGTTCAGTCTGCTCAAGATCACACAAGAGTCTAATCTCCGAAGATACAGCTCCTGAAAAAGGAAGGTCAGAGAATCATTATTCACCTGACAAATGCACAAAACTAATAATTCTCAATTTTATTTAGATGCGTTAATGGACAAACATTTCAAACACACCAGAAGAAATGCTTTGAGGAAAAAAAAAAAATCAAAAGTCATGGAATCACTCCACTTCATCCTGGTCTAAACGCTGCAACATCCTGAATCTTCCAATTGTGCAGTAAGAAAAAGGGTAATGATCACCATCAGGTTGCATTGTCCACAGCAAATAATTATAAAAATATAATTACATCTTCAGAGGCCTGATAAAGAACTTACTCCAGATACAATAAGAAAAAATTGCTCTTTATTCTCGAATTGGTCTGCTGCAATGATATCAAGAATTGACACGTTGAATTTGTCAAGAAATGCTAGGTTTGCCCCAAACAAATTTTGATGATTTATAGTGGCAGGAGAAAATGTGGAAAGCCTATTAGTGACAGGCTCTTCAGCTGCTATTTGGTGCATTGGGTGGAGGATGATGCTCATATCTTGAAGAGCAATTCATTCAGAGTTGTTTATCTGTCGTTTCACTGGTGTCCTAGTGATGAGTATTTTCAAGGGCCATTTCGTAAGATAATTAGAGAGATTGAAGAGCCTTATTTTAATAATGAATCTTCGCTTGTTCTAATTTTATTATTGTTTGCTCTAAGAAAATAACATTCTTCCTTCTTCTTTAGTAACAAAATTTCTTCTTTTACAGGACAAAAGAAACGGAAATATTGCTTGCCACACATTATCATGATATGGCAAAATACAGAAACTCACCAAGGTTGGGACCACTCTTGAGGCAAATTTCATGGATCCTCAATCGCTCTTTATGAACACCACATAGACCTTGTAGGAGAATCTCAAGGGCCTCGACATGCTACAAAAGATAGCAATGTGTAAACTATATACGTTGACTTGAAACACTGATGGGCCTATGATTTACTTCCAGGGTGCCTGCCAATCCTAGCAACTTGATATGCATTTTATGAATAAAGTTCAAACATGAAACACAAGAAATACTTCACCAACCACACATTGCACTGCCTTAAAGAATGGCATAAAATGGTCAAGACTTGATGTCTTTGACACCGTAAAAACAGGATCAAGAACTTGCAATAACAAGAGACAGACCAAAAGTCATCAATTTAATCGAACCAAAAGACCACCCCAATTGTTCAAAGAAAGCAACCGACCCAAAGGACAGAGTAGAACAAGGAACTAACCTGTGTTTCTATAATGCCCTGCACCACACACTCCATATAAACTGTTTCACAACATCAAACACCAAAAGATAAATTATTTATATGTTTACAAATTTGTAACAAATCTGTAATGTACTCATATAAATATTACAAATCATAGGGTTCACTCTGAGGCTTAGACCAATACGAATGCTTTAAAACTACCACAGAACGGGATGCAGAAAAAGTTGAAGAAACATGTTTGAAAGGAAAAACTGATTCATTGAACTGCACATCATTAGAGATATAAAGACGACCATCTGGCGCAAGACATTTGTGGTGAGACATGCTGTAACCTAAGAAGGTACACTCAACAGACCGAAAAGAGGGCTTGTGAGAATTATAGGGACACATAAGAGGATAGCAAGCACAACCAAAGACCCTGAGTGTGGAGTAATAAGGAGTTCTGTGAAAGAGTTTGGTAAATGGAGTTGCAAACTGAATAGCAGAAGAAGGAAGTAAATTTGTCACATAAGCAGCAGTGAGAGATGCATCTTCCCATAATTTTAAAGGTAAACCAGCATTAGCTAATAAAGCAAGACCATTTCAACAATGTATCCATGTCTACGTTCATTAGTGCCCATTTCATAGTGTGCATAACGATGACTAATGCCACATGTGGCAAGAAAAAAGTCAAAACTACGAAATTCATCACCAATCAGTTTAAATAGCTTTGATTTTGGCATTTAATTGGTTTTCAACCAAAGTTTTAAATTGGAAACAACAGAAAAAGCATCAGATTTTTGTTTGAGACTGAAACGAACGCAAGCTGCAACTAAGACACAGTGAAACGGACTATTCGGATGCAAGGGAGAACACACAAAGTTGCAGATCGGAGCGGCCAGTGGAGACTAGGCTCAACGTGCGCGTGAGAAAAACAAGACCGGAGCAGATTCAAGAAGGTGAGCACGAGCACCGGCAGAAGACGGGCAGTCAATGACTCACGGCGAGCAACTTTGCACCTGGGAGTTGGGCCTCGAGCCTGGTCCGGTGGATTCGCGGGACAACTGTATAAACAGAATAAAATCTAATCATATCAAGAGTTATAAGGCTTGTGAAGTCCTAAGTGGATTGAGCTAACGCTGTGAAAATAGGTTCTGGGCCAGCCCGCACTTTTTAAAGTTTTAGGGAATTGGGTTAGATTAGTCTGTCAAGATAAAAGGAGTGGAAAAACTCAATCCAGCACACCTACTAGCAGTTGGTGAGCCCATAACTTTATTTTTTTAAATGATTTAAAATTTATAATTAATATATCATGCATATATATTAAATTATCCCTCTAAATCATACTAGTCTCACACAGTAAACTGTATTTTTTCCAACACCTATCTAAATTTAAATGGTCTTTTATGCATTCTTAAAAAACTGCAGTGTTACAAAAAAAATGTAGAATCCAAACCTTTTTTTTTCACTTGGATGTCCCACTAGAAGTAAGCTTGAATATTAAAATGGATATGAAATTGATAAAAAAAATAAAATTAAAAATATTTTTGGTATCACACAAAATTTAAATGTGGTTTCGATATTATTTATATTTGTTTTTATAGATTAAGAATTGAATAGAAAAATGAAGCTAAAATATCAAAAAAAATTGCTAGATTTTACTATTAATCATCTTCTTGTCTAAGTATATTATCCTTTTTACTGAAAAAGATTTAAATATAAACTCATATTATTTTTTTCAATAAATTATTATTTGTGATTTCGATTAATAGATTTTATGAGAGTAACAAATAATATATATTCAAAATATTTCCATAAAAACTAATAAATCATCAATTTACAAATTATAACAAAAATTTCATTTGTAAATTGTAAGAAATATTTACATTATCTTTCAAATGTAAAGAATATGTTTAAGAGTAATAAATTATATATTTAAGAAATATCATTATTATTGTAAATTTACAAGAAAACATATTGCAATTAAAAAATAAATTAATTTTTTTAAAAAAATAAGTTCACTCACGAGCCAACTCATTTTAACCTATTAATTTTTCAGGTTGGGCTAGCCCAACTCATTTTAAAAAATGAGCCAATTCTTTCAATCCAACCCATTAAAATTGGTGGGTTAAACAGGCTAGCTCGTAAACTCAACCTATTTTCTTAACTCTAGGCTTGATGAAGATAGAAATATCAAAATTTTCACTTGATATCTTGTATGCAAGTGGATTGATGCATTTTATTAGCTTCCTTATAAACATTGTCAAATATGACCTAATCTCTCATAATGAGATCTCCTATTCTCTTGGTAATCACAAAAAGATAGTGGCTTTCATAGTAGTTGCCATCAATAAGTGATAGAACCTCAATAAAATTAAAGTAAATGTTAATTTTGGATAATTCACATTTCGGCAAATATCGAGGCCTTCCAAAATTCTCAAGAGCTTAGCAATTGTGTTGGGGTAATATTCAAGATATTTGAAAAGTCTCTTAATTCAATTACTCTTATCATCTCTAATGATTCCGCCACAAGCAACAAGCCCATTAACACTAACAAAACTATTAATGTCAAGTCTAACCTATCCTAGTTTAAGATGACTCTACTTAACTTTATATCTCTATCTCTTCTGCTCAAATGATTGGTTTTAGATTAAAACCTTCTGTTGTTGATTATCTATTAAGCACAAGAGGAGGTAATGTCGCTTTTTGGAATATCATCTTCAAAGTACATCTTTTTGCATATAGTTTTCCATATATTCCAACGTGCTTGTGCAAGAAGTCTTTGTCAAGATATTTTTCTTATTCTCAAACTACCTGCTTTGTTTTTAGCATTTCAATTTATAAAATGGTACAGCTGAATACTTTTTGATAGAAAGGGAATGAGAGTGTGAATTGGCTTAAAAAGTATGTTTATTATGGCTAAAATTTTCAATGGAATCATACCTTTGCGCTTGTTTGGTATGCAGGATTTAATCATGGAAAGCAGTGATTTATTTTCTTTTAAAAGACTGGATTGACATTAATTAAAAACATTAAAAAAAAAAAACCACATGACTAAAACACACAAACCTGCTGCAACCTCCAACTTCTTCACATAAACGCTAAGCCGCATCAAGGAAGCTTCAATCAAGAAATTCTTAACTACCAGAATTTTTTACTTTTGCTATTCAAAAACACAAAAGGCAGGATATTGTTGTACAGGAATGGAACACAAAAATAAAGAAGAACAAGTAGCACTCAGGCGAAGAAGAAGAATTATTAAATGAATAAACAACAACAAAACAGGACTTGCATGGGTGAATCAACAATGGCGAAACAGCTTAGTTCATAAAGAAATGGGAAGAATGACCAGGAACTCACTAGCGTTGAAGCTCTCGTTACATAACGGACTCACACCGAAAAACAGCTCCACTCACCATCTTGACCTGTGCAAGTCGTGAAAACAGGGTGGGCAGTGGACTTAGACAACCAATAGTATTTTTTTCAACAACAAAAATTAAAGTGACTGGAGAGACATATCAACGGGGATTCAATTAGGGCACATGAATTGTATTTTTGTCAATAAAGAAGAACAATAACAACAGTGATTGATGAACAGATATAATCACTCAAGAGATATCCTGGACGAGAAATTTAGAATTTTCCCCCTTTTCAAGAAAGAAGAAGACAAAAGTATAGGAATTATAGAGAAATCAAAGTAGACATGCAAGCAGAGCACGACAGATTGTCTTTTTTCTTGGAAAAAAAATTCTTTTGAAAACAACAACAACAATTAATGGGACTCTTGATCAAAGAGGCAGGAAGAATGCACGCACAGCAGCGCATGAAGTGTCAAAGAACAAGTATATCAAATATGATAGACAAGACAAGGAATGGCAAGGAACTCACCTGCGATGAAGCTATCGTGCTGATGGATGAGAACAGAAGACAAGATTGCATGGAAACTAAAATGGGATCATATAGATGACAACATTGCCGAGACTTATCACCGGTGAAGGTGGAATCGCAACGACGACTTCAAACTTGCAAAGAAGAGAAGACAAGTGTTGATTGACAATGATAGTTATTTATAATTTAGGTACATTGATTTAGGTTATTTATAGTTTAGGTATATTGATTTAATTTTTAAATTCATAATATAATATGAAAGTTACATGATCAACTTTTTCTTATTTTTAAATATTCTCACCCTTTGTTATTTTATTTATTACCATAACTTCTCAACTAATTTACAATTTTAATTTTTAATTTTTAATTTTTAATTTTAAAAATCTTAAAAAATTTCAAGCATAATAACTTGCAACACCTCAATCCGGTTTGTGAAATTAATTTTACTTCTTAATTATAATTTAATTGTGAAATATGGAAACCATACTCACAGAACACCACATAGGAATTCCAAGCACAATAACGTCCTGCTTACTTCTCAACTATTTGCGAAACATGGTGAAGTTAGTCTAACTAGTATATGGCTCGTGCAAGGTAGTAGTATCAAATGAATTGAAAAAAAATATAGAAATAAATTGTGTAACATTTTTCATAACTTATGAGCATTGTGATTTATTTGAAAAAATATAAAGAAATAAACATGTAAATATTGGCTTTAGTGTGAAGAAGAAATTAAAATTTATCATATGTGCATAGGATGGAATGATAAATTATGAAGAGTTTGTAACAGTGATGGAAAAGGGAGATCCAAAAGCCATGTCCTGCAGGAAGAGGTGTGAGTCATGTTTGATATCTATCATGTATAATTTTTTCATAAGCTTATGGTTTGGGGATAATAAGTTAACCATACAATAAACAACCAAAAAAAAAAAGTTAACCATACAATAAGATAATTTATTATTTAGTGATTCATATTTTTTGAATTAACTATAAAAATTAGTAATTTGATTTCACATAAAGAATTTCATTTTCACTCTAATTCTATTTAAGTATAAGGGTTTACTTGTTTTGTCAAAAAAACATATTGAAATTTTACCCATTATTAGCTAAGCATAAATTAAAATTTTAAAATTGATACCAATGATTGTATCAAAAATTTGATATCATTTTATCATTTTTAAAGACTATGATTTGTATGCTTTCATTAATTTAAATTAGATTTGAATTAAGAGCTGAATTCTTTTGATTCGTAGCATTAAGTTGTTGTTTTAAGGACAACAACTTTAATTCTTAGTAAAAGAGAAACCAAGGTGGCACTAAGCTTTTTAAAGGATTGAGGATGAACATATAAAAAAAAAAAATCCAATAGAGCGTGCGATAGGATTTACCTTCTTGGAATTTCAATTTCACACTTGGGGTTCCATCACTCACTTTGATCTAGTTAGAAGATCATTGACACAAGCTATCTTTTAAAAATGTTCTTGCAAGGTTGTATACATAACAGAGAAGGATTTATATTAATAGAGGATTTAGACTATGCCAAGTACTAAAAAGAGGACAATTTTAAGTTATATGATTCACTAGAATTATATAATGAGAAATAATAAAAATGAGATGGAATACATTATTGAGTAGATTTCATAGTGACTAATCATCACAACATGTCATGATAACAACTACCATATTTCAGGTAGATTCAATAAAGGAGGAAAAAATAAAATTCTTACTTTTCAGGCCTTAAATTTTTAAGAAAGTTTAGTTAAAGAGAGGTTGAATACCTATGAAATTGGCAAAACTTGTAACATTCATTAATTGAGACAAGGTGATATTAGGTAAAGTGAGTGGCGATTTTCTTCCATTGAGAAGGACAATTCCAAAGCAATGCACAATTCTTTTTACATTGAGTCCAAAGTGGTAGAATAAATACAAAATTAACAATAATGAATGGAACAAAAAGTATATAAAAAGAATTTTTCAAACAAATTATATACACGTTGTTAGAGAAGTGTTGTTAGAGACCTATTATAACCAAACAAAGTTCAAAATTAGACCATGTTTCAACAACCAAAAAGAGAGAGAGAGAGCAAAGATTGTGTTAATTTTGAAAGAGATGAATGAGGCTAAGAATAGAATGGAGATTGAGGGGGGGGAGATGAATTAACTAAGAGTGAAATGAATGAAAAATCTCATCAAGAAACATGAGGCGCCACTCGTGGCTTGTGGACTTCAAACTTAACTTTGATGGTGGTTGATAGCATCTTGATGTCGAATGAGGATGAAATTCAAAAAGTTCATGTGCACTTACATATGTAATGAAAGAATTTATGCTTGAAGCTGGAGCGAGAGCTAAATGTCACAATATTAGATTTTGAATGAAGTTATAATAGGATGAAAGTTACGGGGATAAAAATAATTTATGATTAATCATTAAATCTCATATTCATGTAATTAGTTAAATATATTTTAGGAAATTTGTCAATGTTCAATTTTATAAATTTTAAATTAGTTTAGAATCTCATAAGTATTAAATTAATTTGTATTGCTTGTGATAATTTGGAAAAAATAGTTAGACTGAAAAGATAATTAATCTTGAATTAGTAGAGAAATTTTTGAGAATAGATTGTGAAAGTTGAGGAATTGAAGGCATTTTATTAATTTTTAAGTTGAGGACGTTATGATATGATAATAAATGGGATTATGGGATTACGGGAGAGAAGCTTCAGGAATAAATTGAAAAAAATTAACATAATAGGAGAGAAAATAAGGGAGAAGAGGTTATCTTGATAGTTAGAGATATCATGCTTATTATTTTTAAAAAATATTTTAAAAATTAATGTTGATGTGGATAGGTTAGAATTGCAACATTACAAAATTTGCTTACTTGTCAAGTTATAGATGATACTCATGGTTCTATTTTTATGGAATTTATTAATTTTTAGAGAAATACTTAAGCAAATCGGGTGCACCACATTATTTGTGGCCTGTCTAATTAAAATGTTTCAAGTAATAAAAAAAATCTTATATGATATTTTAAAATTAATTTTATTTTATAACAGAATGCACATTTGATTTCTTGCTTTTTCTCTCTCTACCATCATTAATATTAAAATTAATTTATATTTAATGCAATCTAAATGTTATATTTTTATTGAACAGACCACAAATGACATGATGCATCTGATCTTCCTAAATATTTCTCTAATTTTTAGGTTGAGGGAAGTTGCCTTTTATTAATGTTTAAGTTAAGGGAGGTTATTATATAATAATAGATGGGATCATGGGAGAAAAAATTTAGGAATAAATTGAAAAAAAGGAATAGGATAACAAGGGATAAAATAAGGGATGATAGAAAGTTATCTTAATAGTTAGAGATATCATGCTTATTATTTTTTAAAACATTTTAAAAATCAATGTTGACATGGATAGGTTAGAATTGTAGCATTACAAAATTTGCTTGTGTTAATCTGTAGATGATACTTGCAATTCTACTTATATTTTATATATATATATATATATATATATTTGCGCCTTAATAACTTCTCCTTGCCAAGGAATAGAGTAAATAATTGTCATTTATATCTCTGAATGCACAAATTCATGAATAAAGGTAATAGGCAGTAGCAAGCATTTGTCTACTTTTTAACAAGGATGAGCAAGATTGAATAGAAACTAAAAATCAAATTAAATCAAATCAAATTTTTATTATTTCATTTGGCTTTTCGGTTTGATTTGATCTTTTATTGAAAAAATATTTTGATTGATCGGTTTAATTTGATTAGTTAGATTTAAAATTGAATATACCAAACCAACTAAATTATCATATATTTATATATATGTACAAGTTATTAATTTATAAATTATATTTAATTAATTAATTGCTTTATTTTATTTTATTCTTTTTAATTTTGCACTTAAATTTTTGGCAATGAACTAGCCAATGCTTACCCTTGTTTTTTAAGATGTCTATGCATATTTGGGAAGGAAGTCCATGTTTATTTAGAATCTAAAAGGGGAAAAGCAAGGAACAAATCATAGAAGAAGAAGATAATATTCAATTAGTGGGTCACTTCCAACAAATAACATGCTAAAAGGAATCTGATTTATGATTTAGGATTTTGTTGCCCTAAATATTTAGTTTCGAATGTGATTAGAAACTAATGCATGTGTTCGAGTTTCTCAAATATTCTGGACTTAGATTCTTTTATTTTTATTCTTCTTTGAAAGAATGCAAGCTAGTGAAGTCCTTTATCCTATAAATGCTATATATATAGGTTAATACAAGACATGCTTACAATGCTCCAAGATAGTTTCACCCATAACTTGGACACCTCACACATTTACTCTATGAAGTTTTTGTGTTATCATTTGAACATTTAGGCTTAAGTTTCTTATCTTATATTGTCATTGTTGTTGTTAATTCCAAATACTTACAATAAATTCCAAGTTAGAGGTTTCTATGGCCAAATCTCATTTCTCTCTCTTTTTATGCTAATGCATGATTAATAATGTTTTTCAACTTCGATATTCAATGGCCAAAAGACAATAAATAAGAGCATGTGGTTCTAGTTCTCTACTTTCAAAATTAGTGATGATGATTAGTCTTTATGCTTGATCCATTTTAGTAATATTATTTGATTATTTTTAAAATTAGAATTACAAAATGTGTGTGTGAGAGTAAAAAACTATTACCCTGGCATTACAAGACAACAACAACACTTTATATTACATGCCAGAGTTTTCTCAAGCAAGAAATGTAAATTCAAATACGAATTTAACTTAATTTTTAGGTCCATATTCTCTTGTATATTGCTTTGTTTTAATTCTCACAATTGTCTTTTTTTTTTATCTTCTAACATTGTTACAAGTGATTACAAAAAATTTCAAATGATCGTTTACATTATTTAGTATATCAATTTTTAATTATCTTTTGTTGTTCAACTTACATGTGAAGTCATATAGATTTCTATTTACAATATATTTTATTTTTATTTCTTCATTTTGAAATTTTATAACCCATAATTTAATAACTTCCTAATTTATGATCCGTCTTTAGAAGCAATCGATTATTTAGAGTATTCTACTATTTCTATATCTAATTACCTATCTATATATACATGGAATACACATATATTCATACATGCATGTATATTATCAAATTAACTATTATTATTTTATATATATTTTGTTAATTAATTTATATGCATCGGGTACATACTAGTTTTTTTTTTTAAAAAATAAATAAATAACAGGTTAGCCTGTCAACTTGTTCTTAAAAATGGGATAATTTTGTTAGCCAAGACTGCCACACAACGTCGCTCTTTTTTTCTTTTTTCTTCTTCTTCTTTTTTTTTTTTAAAAAAACGTCGTTGGCCCACCGATAGGACTGAATTTTCCGTCCCCTGCAAGTCGAAGTTGCCTATTTTTGGACAGAAAAAAAAAAATTTACCCTGTTTAATAAGATTAGCCCCAGTCATGAGATTAAAAACAAATTTATTCCACACACAATCAATTCATTAAAAAGAAAATCAGATATATTAAATGAGGATCATTATCATTAAATGCAATGAAATCATGTAATATGTCAGATCACATTTCTTACTACTGCTACTACTGTAAATGTCAGCATACTCAATGACTCACTAATGATACAACACATATTCATTTATTTTTAATTACTCACCAGATTCTATGAACACTTATGGTTATTCTTCCTTTGTCGTTAGGTTTCCCTCGCAAGTCTCAACCAATAAGAAGATCAATTCCTATAACAAAATCTCTCTTTCTTGCTTTCTCTCTCTAGCCGTATCAGATATTGAAGACGATGCACAAGTTTTTTCATCAACTGAGGTTTGTTTTTCTCCCCTCCTTTTTATAGTATCTGAAAACAAATAATATACTTATTTTACAAGGTGTGACGCTTTCCAGTAACTTACGAACATATTCGCCATATACGTAAATATCCGGAAAATCAGTAATCATTAAACGCAATAAAAATGTATCTCCATTCTTACTGTCAAATGTCAACGTAAATAGCTTATTGATGACACAACATAAATTCCTTACTGCGTTCACTCGCCACATTCATTGAATAGTGCGCGTTTATAACAGCATTATGGTTATTCCTTCTTTGTCTTTAATGGCTTCCCCCCTTGCATTTTCCTTTTCAACCAATAAGACAAGGTCAATTCCTATACTCCCAGAACACAATCTCTGTTTCTAGCTTTCTCTCTCAAGCCATATCTAACAATGAAGAATATGATGGACAAGTTCTTTGATCACCTGAGGTTTGTGTTTCTCACCTCCTTTGTACTATGTTTCTCGTTGTTCTTTTTGGATTACATGGCTGTTCTTCATGGTCAGAGTGGGATCACTTTTTTGCTCATATCCAACCAAGCCCATGAGCCTAATCACCCCGTCACTTCTATAAGTAATTCTGATCAAACCTTGAATTTCCCAGGAAAAGACACTACTTCTTCTGATAAATCTGTTTCTGTCTCTGTCTCTGATTCGCAAACAAATACTATCATAGAAAATGAAAACCCCATACATATTCGAAAACAACATAGGGATCCTTGTTCGGGCAAATATATCTATATGTATGATCTTCCTAGTAGGTTTAATGTGGACTTGCTCAAAAGATGTCACACACTCTTGAAATGGATGGACATGTGTCCTTACATGATCAATTTAGGTCTTGGACCTAAGATCACGCTAACAGAGAGATCAAAAGCAAAAGTTTTGCTGCTGAAGAATCGTTGGTATGCCACTAACCAGTTCTCACTAGAAGTCATATTTCATAACAAGATGAAGCATTATAGATGCCTAACCAAGAATTCCTCGCTGGCTTCTGCTGTATTTGTGCCTTACTATGCTGGCCTTGATGTGGGCCAATATCTATGGGATTCAACTGTTTCAGAAAGAGATGCTTCTCCTATAGAACTCTCAAAGTGGCTTTCAAGAAGGCCTGAATGGAAGCGAATGTGGGGCAGAGACCATTTCCTTGTTGGAGGAAGAATTGGCTGGGATTTCAGAAGAAGAACAGAGGACGATTCTGATTGGGGAACAAAGCTTATGTTTCTTCCACAATTTTCCAATATGACTTTTTTGCCTATAGAATCTGGTTCATATTCTAATGATTTTCCCATTCCTTACCCAACCTACTTTCACCCTTTGAAGGACCGTGAGGTTTTGAAGTGGCAGAAGAGAATGAGAAGGGTGAGAAGACCCTACCTGCTTTCATTTGTAGGTGCTCCCAGACCAAATTCAACACAGCTTATCAGAGAAGAGCTCATCAAACAGTGTCTTTCATCTTCAAAAACCTGCAAGTATCTTGGTTGCTATGATGGTGACAGCAACCAATGTGAAGACCCTATGAGTATTATTAAGGTGTTTCAAAGTTCACATTTTTGCTTGCAGCCTCCTGGAGATTCATTTACAAGAAGATCAACTTTTGACTCTATTTTAGCAGGGTGTATTCCGGTGTTCTTTCATACAGAATCAGCTTATGATCAATATTTATGGCATTTGCCTAAGGATGGGTCTACATACTCTGTGTTTATACCAGAAGAAGAGGTGATAGGGAAAAGAGTGAAGATCAGTGACATTTTGTTGAGAGTTTCAAAGGGTAAAATGATGGCCATGAGAGAAGAGGTTATAAAGCTTATTCCCAGAATCATATATGGCGATCCGAGATCCAGATTTGAGACTGTTGAGGATGCATTTGACATTACAATAAAGGAAATTCTAACGAGAATTGGGAATTTGGAAGGGAAAAAAAAAAGATTTTTGATGCCAATACTTGAGTGAGATTTCAGTTTCTCATAATCTCACTCTAATCATCTGGCGATATTTGATTTTTTTTTTTTAATGAATGAATTTGACCTTTCTGCACCGTCCATTTTATCTATTCCTGTTCATTGATACATTATCATTTTACTCTCTCTCTTTCTCCCTATATATATATATATATATATATATTTATATATTTTGAGATTAGTTTTTGTAAACTGGTATATTTTTATTCATCAATTTTCTTTTTCTTTTTCTTTCCAGCAACATTGCTTGCTTGATGATCAAGTCAGTGAAATTCTAAAATCTTAAGTCATGTATAAAAAATAATTGTGACATAAATCGAATGAGCATGTGCTGGTAGATACAATTTCGTTTTTTTGTTTTTGCCAGAAGAAGTACCCGTATACATTTAAACTTTGAGACATTTAAACTGTAGGTAATAAAGATAGATGGATGTTGATGAAGTTTTATAATTCATACCTTTATAATATAAAAATAAATAAACATTTGTAATTGATTTAAATCTTATTTTTCACAAACTTTTGGTCTTGAAAATTAAAATACATTATGAATGAAGATTCAGGAGTCTATACTTTGTAAAGATTGCCCTGATTTGGTATCTACTTCTATATTTACATTTAATACTTTATGTAAAATATAAGTTACCAGACACACAATTCTTGGGCAATGACAATTGATTTAAGCACAGGAGTCAGTTTTCTTGAGCAAGCCAAAGCTAAAACCCCACCAACAGATCTTTTCAATCCTAAACTAATGAATTCTCCCACGAATTTCACAGTGAGAGATGAAGTTAGAAGATATACGCCAAGTGATTTTGATGCAGAGCGATCCTCCAATCAAATGAACCTTTCACTTTGAAGTCTTCATGATCGGGACAAAATCTTATAATCCCCTCCAACTGATAGGAGACGCTTCAGATCCATTGCTATGATAGCACTTTGTGTTATAGATGCAGGGGCTAAGAACGCGATGCATATCATGTGTTTTCTGATGAATTCACATTTCCCGAAGGATTAGCATTTTTACTGAACTAGTCCTTGCATTTGTCCTGTAATGTGAAAGTGGTTCGTTGGAAACTCAATTGCTGCTAATCGTGCAAAACAGGAGAAATCACATGCTGTATGAAACCATGGCGTGAGATCAGAGTAAAGTACCTGTGATGTGAGAGAAATGAAATGAGGGAGAATGATAATAAAGTACTCCCCAAGTATGTAAATAACACATAGATGCTATGAAATATAATAGTTATTTTCTAGTTTTCAGTGAGTTGGTTGACATTTTATTTTTTGTGAGATGATATATTTACCTTAGATGACCGTTTAGCAGCAAAGGAACCAGAAGGATGGCATTGATTGCAACCACTGTGGCTATGTTGCCGCACTTCCTCGTCATTCGTTGGCACATTTTTTGGGCCGAAAACAATCCATACCTAACTTCCTCCGCCATCAATGGCAACTTTAGCATTGCAAACCCTCAATAAACCAATCCCTTCGGAACTCGTGGCTCTCTCTCTCTCACACTCTTCCAAACTCCCTCTATCCTCATACTTCTTTGTCTGTGTGTGACCATGCAGGACCCTGCCCGCTCAGTCCCTTGTGGTGGTTGGAACTTTGTACTAAGATTTTTCTCAAATTGTTAAACTTAATCATGGTGGTTGGAGCCCAAACAAAAGATAATTACGAACAAAACTCATTCATGGTCTTAAGATTCAATAAAAATTGTATGTGAATAGATTTTCAAGCCTTCATTTTACTGCCAGAAATCATGCCACATGACAGGTGTTTATTGCGTAAACTTAAATTTAGTGGATGTGAAAAATTCTATCACAATAAACTCTAATCATGCCTTCATACGAGAACCAAAGACCAATTCCAGATAAGATCACAAGGATCGACAATTAAAAACAGAGAAGTAGGAGCCAATATTCAATTTGGAGCAAGGAGAAGACAAAGGATGCAGACAATGAGAAAGGAAAAGGAAGGATCTAAGAATTTTTTAAGAAAATTATTTTCCAAGGATAACATATTAAAATTGATTTATGAACAAATTCCTAGAGACTAAAAAATAATTATCACCTTTTAGGATACTTGATTGTCATTTGAGTATTTCAACGATATTTTTCTATTATTTTCCCTTAAAAAAATAAAGAAAAAATATAAGATGCTATTAATTATAAAGAAAATGATAACAAAATTCTTTTAAATTATATAAATGACAGTCTGATTTTTTAAAATATCATAATTTTAAAAAAGCATCTTAAAACTTTTTTATCAATAAATTTTAAATCAAAAAAATTATTTTACCTTATTGACAGAAAGGTTTATAAAAATTTTATTGATATTACAATATTTTGAGAGATTAAATTATTATTTATATAATTCAAAATAATTTTGTTATATTTTTTCTTAATTATAATTAAGAAGTCTTGATTTTGAGTATCATAATAATATTAGGCGGGCATATTTGCATTAGAAGTGTTTACAGGACAGGATCGGGACATCTCGTCCCAAAAAAAATTAAGATTGAATTTTGGTTTTGTATCTTGTCTTATCCCAAAAGTCGTCTCGTCTCGTTAGGAGTCGGGAAGGGATCAAGATAAGATCGAGGCATCCCACCGTCTCGATAAATCGGATAATATAGGAGAAAGTTCTAGATAATAATGTTCATTAAAATTTTAAATCATATAATTTATTAAGTTTAAAATCAAAACAATACAAGTACATAAATTACAACAATTTAAAGTCAATTATTAAATTACATTAGTCACAACTACATATTATAATAGCAAATACAAGTGATCTTTATCAAGTAGCAATAACAGGCAAGTCAAACACAATATCAAATTATTGTTCTTCTACTTTAGTAAAGATGTACTAAGCTAATTCCTCTTCTAAAAATAAAACAAGAAATACGTTATAAATAAAAATTATTAAATAGATAGACATAAGAATAAATTATATTAATATAATTAATATATTATAAAAAAAGATATCACCGTGTTTACTTAATGTTATTAAAATTATTAATATAAAAATTTAATTTTAAATAAGAATTATAAGTAGTAAAATTATAATTGATATAATTAATATAAGTATAAATTATATTAATATAATTAATATATTTAAAATAAAAAATTACGAGACGTTTTAATAGTAATCCCATCCCATTTTGAACCCCTTTCTTATCCTATCTTGTAAAGTCTCGTCTTGATTATTTTTGAATTGAGACAAGACCCGTCTTCATATGATTGAGACGATATCAAATGAATTGAGACGGATATAAGCTAAACACCCATAATTTGCATTATTCATGGTTTATGACAAGACTTTGTTAAATAAAGAAAATATCCTTTCACACACACACACACATATTTGGGTGTTGCTTTTCGTCATATTTCAGGATATTTTTGCATTTTTCTGCATCTAAAGAGGGAATTGCTATTGCCCTGCATTACTGCGCATCATCTTCATGATTAAGATCCCATTATAGCAATTCTTTCAGCCGTTAAATTCTGATCCAAGTGTTTACAAGATCAGCCTTCCTGCTTTCGCTCCTTAGCCGTCATGAAAGCCCCCGCCTTCTGTTCTCCTTTCTCTTCACTCTTCAGTTTTAACTGTTACACACGCGCTCCGAGACTTAACCTTTGTTTCTCTCTTTGAACAATAATGGATTCTCTCCGTGTCTTCCACAGCTCTTCTTCTCCCCAGATCCACCTTTCCCGGAAGCCATTCCGATCCCTTCATCAATGTCATAAAACTCCACTTGACAATGCTTCCATATTCTTCAGGCACCCCATTTCTGTTCACTTCTACGGCTCGAAGCCCCATCATAGCGCTATTTCTGCTGTCTCCACCGAAGCAAGGTGCTCTATGTACATTTCTTTTCTTGCTAACTTCATTTTGTTGTATTGTTTTTGAATTTGCATTCGAGAGTAATCGGGGCTATGAATTCGTCGGAGTTGAAGTTTGTGGAAGCCTTTCGAGGGGAAAAAAAAGTTCTGTAGCTTTTCCTTGCTCGGGCTGAATTTTTGAATGAACAACCAGTGGTGGCGAAGCCTTATAACATACAGGGAGGATAAAGATAAGGCCAATTGCTGGTGATTTATTTGGAAACGATCAGTTTGTAGCAGTTTACCTATAAGAGACTATTTTTGTTTTCCTTACGCCACACCTTTTTTTGCCTACAAAAAGTCACTTTTTTCTATAACGGTATTGAATGCCCTTGAAATTTGATTATACTTTTAATGCTGTAATGATTTTGACAGGGACGAAGAAGCGATAGAAATGAAGAATAAGATGAAAACTTCAGGACATGGGAAAGTGAAGCTGCATATTAGATTGGATCACCAAGTCCAATTTGGCGAGCATGTTGTGATTCTAGGATCAACGAAAGATCTGGGCTCATGGAAGAGAAGTGTTCCGATGTCCTGGACGGAGAGTGGGTGGGTGGGTGACTTAGAGTTGCGAGAAGGTAAAAATATTGAGTTTAAATTTGTGATTGTGAGGAAGGACGGAAGTTTAGCATGGGAAGATGGAGAGAACAGGGTTTTGAAACTCCAGAAAGGAGGGAAATTTAGTATTGATGCTAGATGGAACTCGACAAAGGAGAATCTAGAGCTGCTTCCTTTGGTTCATGATGAGGGTGGAGAAACCGAGAAGAATTTGGCAGATGAAAAGTCTGAAGTGATTGATTGTGCTTCTGTTTTGGAAGCAGAGCCAAGTCCTTTTGTAGGACAGTGGCAAGGTAAAGTTGCGTCTTTCATGCAATCCAGTGAGCATCGCAACCATGAAACAGAAAGAAAACGGGACTTTACGGGTCTTGAAGGCTCGGCTCTGAAGTTGGTGGAAGGTGATCAGAAATCAAGGAATTGGTGGAGAAAGGTAATGCAATTAATAATTTTCTCTTCTGGATTTTTCACTTGCAGTACTTCTTTGTTATATTATTCTCTTATTGGTAGAGTTGCATTGATATTAATTAAGAACCTACAAGAAGTATGGATGCTGACATGGGCACAATGACAATGAACAAATATAAAGTGCTCAGGTGCCGTTTGAAGTGTTATATTGTCCCAATAAAAAGTGTTTGAATGTGTGTGGATGTGGCTTCCTTTTTAAAACTGTCCGTTCATATTTCAACATGATTCCTCTATAACCATATGTTTTATGATTTTGGCTCTAGGAGGGGTAGGTACTTTGTGCAAGCAACTTCCAAGAGTTTTTTTTTTTTTTCTTTCGCTTTTTTGAATAGATCACTAACAGATTGCAATGTTCACTTATCTATGATTTTATTTTGAAGCTTGATGTCGTACGTGATATCATTGTTGAAAGTTTGCAAGGTGAAGATCGATTGGAGGCTCTTATATACTCTGCTATCTACCTGAAGGTCTTCTTTACTCCCTTATCTCTGTTTTTTTTTTTTTCTTGATATCAATTCATGCATTCCCTTCTTATTCCCTATATGATTATCTTATGCAGTGGATAAACACAGGGCAAATTGCTTGTTTTGAAGATGGAGGCCACCACCGGCCAAATAGACATGCTGAGATTTCAAGGCTCATATTTCGTGAATTAGAGCGACATTCTAGTAGGAAAGATGCCTCACCACAGGTAGACTATTAATTTGTTTAACATCGGTATAGAAGGTTAATTTTCCAGCCGGTTGTCTTTTATATGCATATTCCAACCAAAGCATTGAAACAGATGCTGGTAGGATGCATTTGCCCCTCATGAACTAAAATCAACCTTTGCTTTACTGGATAACTTTTTTGTAAGATGATTATTGCCCAGAGTTCATCATGGATTGAAATTTGGCACATGTGTGCCATGCTCGTAAAATTTTACATTGGTATAAGACTATTTGTTCTCCTACTATATATAAACTAACATAAAAATATATATTTTGAAAAAAAGAAAAGATTAACTAGTTGAACACACTCATAATTATCTACTTTTGTTAAAACTTAATGAGCATGATTAATCATTGTATTTTAATTACTTAAAATTCATCAACAGGATTTCACTACTAAAGAAAGAATTGATAGTTTTAATAATGGTTGTCATGCTTATAAAATTTCACATTAAGTTGTGATTTACACCCAGGAAATTCTAGTCATTCAGAAGATTCATCCATGTTTGCCATCTTTCAAAGCAGAATTCACTGCTTCTGTTCCTTTGACTCGAATTAGAGATATTGCTCATCGAAATGATATCCCTAAAGATGTCAAGGTAATCCTTCCTGAAGTATTTGGGGTATCTATTCTTAGTATAGTTAGACAGCATTTTTGCTGTTTTACAATTTGTTTACATTCCAGCTTCAAATTAAGCATACAATACAAAACAAGCTTCACAGAAATGCTGGCCCTGAAGATTTGGTTGCTACTGAAGCAATGCTGGCTAAAATTACAAAGCACCCTGGAGAGTATAGTGAAGCATTTGTCGAACAGTTTAAGATATTTCATCGTGAACTCAAAGATTTCTTTAATGCTGGCAGGTTTGACTTACAAGTCCTAAGCATCGTCATAAGCCTCATTCCATTCCTTCTGTAAATTTAAGTTTATTTATATTATGTTGTAACTTATGGTAGCTGGTAAATCATAAGTTTACTGATTAAGTATCTTATAAATTATAATTTTATCCTTTTGCAGCCTTGCAGAACAGCTAGAATCCATCAGGGATTCTTTGGGTGAAAGGGACATTTTAGCTCTTAATTCATTCTTGGAGTGCAAAAAGGTACTTCTTCCATCCCAAATTATAGAATACTTTTGAAGGAGTTTCTCCATCCCAAAATATAAGATACTTTGGGTAGATTAGGGTTTCATTAAATGCACCAATTTCAATATTACCCTTTCTCTCTTTACAATTAATTTTTATTCCTTCTTTTTTCAATGTATTAAATGATTAGTATTTTTGAAAGTTTGTATTTATATTTTGGAAAGATAAGGTTGTTAAGTGTATTTAATGAGGTTTATTAGTATGTGAGATTTTGTCTAAAAGTGTCTTATAATTTGAGACAGAGGGAGTAATTTGATTAATATGATGTCCTTGGTATTATTATCTCCAGTTTGAAGATGTAATAAGCCACTTATGGGATAATATGAAGTTTTTTATAATTATTGTCAAAAGTGCTTCAATATGTAACAATGCACTTTTACTGCAAGATGTGATTTGGGTTTGAATTATTATCCTCAAAGTATGCAGTTAATTAATGTTTGTCTTTATGATTGCTTTTCTGCTATGGTTGTCTAAAGCTGTTAAGATGCATGGGCTCTTTTGATTCTGGATAATTAGATTAGCTATTATTTTCTTAATTGTAGAAAGTCATTTTCACTAGTTTTCTACCCTTTTCTGGTTGCCTAATACCATAGGTTTGGGTATTGATTTCACTTTTCTATTCTATGTTGACTTGATTAAGGGATTTATGGTAGAATTGTCAGCCTCCTCTTCCCTTTTTAATTTTCAATTTAAATTGAGAGATTCAGATTCACTTTTCTGAAAACTTTTTCCACATTTCTCCAGAACCAGACACAAATTAATGAGGGCATAATAAACATTCAAAAATTTTCATTTAATTCGATTCGTGTGACCATTTAAACTCTTGAGTGTGGTTAGATGTGCCTATAGAAGTAAATTTGAAGGCTGAGGAAAGAGAGTTATCGTTTTTAACTGTGATTTGGCTATGAAATCTAGTTGCTATAGTCTAAATACTCTACTGTTTCTCTTTTGCCTACTGAGAAAAGAACACAAATAATATTTGAGCAATATGTCTCTGTAATTGGCAGTTTACATAGGATGCTTAATCACTATCTTGGGTGATATGTATGTGATTCTTTCAACCATTTGTCTCCTTCTCTCCCTTTCTGTTTTCTCTCTTAATACTTTTCCACAATAGATACAGATGAAATAAAAATACAAGAATAAATTCTAAGTTATATTTGCTCCTGTCGAATTGATGAAATTAACTGAAATCTGGTGCTTTTTGTCAAACTCTTGTTTGCATAGAAACTGCCTTGCCTTGCTTTTTTAGGAGGAACAAGTACTATTGATGCCTCTCATTTGACTTTGGCTTCCGAAGGAGTTCTTATTCTTGCATCTACTGATAAGTGATTATGCATTATATATCTCCAGAATATGGATGCAGACTCAAATGATATCAAGGGAGACCAAGGAATTACTTTGCTGTTTAAAACCATGGACTCTTTGAATGCATTAAGAGAAATAATTATGAAGGGTCTTGAAAGTGGCCTTAGGAATGATGCTTCTGATACTGCAATAGCTATGCGTCAAAAGGTGATAATGATTTTACCTGATTATTCAGCAGAAGCTTTTGAATGGATATTTATTTCATGCATGCTTGAACTTGCTTTTTCAATACCTTTTGATTCAAAGTCTTGTATGTGCAGTGGCGCCTCTGTGAGATTGGGCTAGAGGACTACTTATTTGTTCTTCTAAGCAGGTTAGTATGTTCTTGGTATATCTTCTAATAGAGAAGTCCAATTATTGATAGGTGTTAAAACTTTTTCACAATACATGTGAAGGGCACAGCAGTCTGCTTAATGAAGAATTCTTATTTATTAATCTAAGACTAGCTGAGTTGTTTGGGCTTTTTTTTTTTTTTTTAAAATGTTGAGATCCTTTCTGTTTGGAGCAGTTCTCAGTAATCAATTTTCAGAGTTTCTGGCTGGAGGAACCGTGGGAAAATTTATTCTGTATGCAGTTTATGCCATTATTTTGTGCATCTGATTGGAGCCAAATATTCCTATTTTTAGTACAACAACAACAAGCAACAATAACAAGCCTTTATTTCACTATGTGGGGTCGGCTACATGGATTGCAAGACGCCATTGTGTTCTATCATTTATCAAGCTTTTAGGAATATTATTAATTAAGAGATCGCGTTCAACAACTTCCAAGAGTGTTCTCTTAGGCCTTCCTCTACCTCTCTTAATCGGACTCAAAGTTATATGTTCCACTCTTCTCACTGGTGCCTCCCTTGGTCTTCTTTGTACATGCCCAAACCATCTCAACCGATTTCCTCAATAGGTGCCACCCTCACTTTTTCGCATACGTGCTCATTTCGAATTTTATCTTTATGTGTATGTCCGCACATCCATCGTAACATTCTCATCTCTGCTACTCCAACTTTATACTCTTGCTGTCCCGTTAGAGCCCAGCATTCACTACTATATAATATTGCCGGTCTGATAGCAGTGCGATAAAACTTTCCTTTAAGTTTATTAGGCATCTTACGGTCGCAAATAACTCCTTTAGCTTTTCTCCAATTAAACCACCCAGCTTGAATTCTATGTGAAATATCTCCACTGATTTCGCCATCATTTTGAATAATGGCTCCCAAATATCTAAACTTTTCCACTTGAGGTATAATTTGATCTCCCAATTTCACTTCCAAATTATTGTCGAATAGTCCTTTACCAAATTTACAATATAAATATTCTGTCTTACTTCTACTCAGACGAAAACCTTTCGACTTCAATGTCCTCCTCCATAACTCAAGTTTGCAATTAACCTCTTCTATTGTTTCTGCTATAAGAACTATATCATCCGCGAAGAGCATACATTTCGAAATTTCCTCTTGAATGTGTTCCGTCAAAACATTTAAGATCAAGTTGAACAAATAAGGACTCAGAGATGATCTCTGATGTAGTCCAATCTTTATAGGAAAATCCTTTGTTTGACCACTAGGCGTTCTTATACTAGTTTTTACCCCCTCATACATATCTTGTATGGCTTTAATATAAGCAATCCGTACTTCCTTTTTTTCCAACGCTTTCCAAAGCACTTCTCTTGGTATACGGTCATAAGCTTTTTCTAAATCAATAAAAACCATGTGTAGATCTTTATCTTTACAACGATACTTTTCCATTAATTCCCTTAGTAAATAAATCGCCTCTGTAGTTGATCTACCTACATAAAACCAAATTGATTCTCAAAAATACTCGTCTCCAATCTCAACCTGTGCTCAATTACTTTCTCCCACAATTTCATTATGTGGCTCATGAGTTTAATTCCTATTTATAAAAATAAAGGAGATATTCAGAACTGTACTAACATAGAGGGACTATTTTTAGTATTTCAGTCATTTTCTTTTCATCTCTTGGGGAATAGAATAGTTTTTTGGCTTCACTTTGGCATCACGCCCATGGTTTTCTTACGGATCTTCTTGTTGTGTATGCTGATGGATGAAAACCCTAATTGCAGATTGCAGTGATGTGCTTTTTGCTGTTACTGCTGAAGCGTTTATCTTTCATGTATTTTTTTTTCTTTTCCAAAGCAATATCTTGCCATCTGCTTTTCATACACCCCTTCTTTTTCATTTATCGTTATTGATCCTTGGTTGACAACAAGCCTTATCCCATTAGGTGGGGTTAGCTACATGGTTGACCAAAAACATTGTGAAAAATAAATTGCTAAATATTAAGCAATATTTGGTTAATTTAATCCATAGGTGTCTTTAGAATATATTGTAAGGAGCACTGCTCAGCATATTTTGCTGGAAAAGGAGCAAGTGAATCGTGATCTAGGATCTATTTCTATAGCAGGTTGTGTGTTTAGAACTTGTTAAAAAATATCTTACTTCCTTACCTATGTATCAAACTTTCCCGTTGAAGTTTAAAGGTTTTCCAGATGTGCATGGATTATCACAATGCATTATACTCCTTTTTTAGGTTTCTCAATGTGCTTGATGTTATGGGAGGTGCTGGTTGGATGGCAGCAAATGTGGAATCAAAGAATGTAAATGCTTGGAACGATCCTCTTGGAGCCCTTATTATTGGAGTACACCAGCTGAAGTTATCTAGTTGGAAACCTGAAGAATGTGCTGCTATTGAAAATGAGCTCCTTGCTTGGAAGAAAAGAGGCCTTTCCGAAATGGAAGGTTGCTTTCTTGTATTTTTGTTTGTAGCTTTGAATATGGGTTTTATTACATTACTTTTAAAAGAGTCCCTGGCCTTTTCTCCATTCTGATTTTGCTTTCTGTTGTCCATTTTTGAAGGAAGTGAAGACGGGAAAACAATTTGGGCATTGAGACTGAAAGCTACTCTTGACAGATCAAGGCGGCTCACTAATGAATATACTGAAGAACTTCTGAAGATATTCCCTGAAAAAGTCCAGGTTAGAATACATTTTTCTCTTCATGGCCTCATACTTGTAATGTCCAATGCTAAAGTTACAATGAGGTTTTTCAAGGAGGATTGAATTCTATTTTCTTATTCCAAAATAACAAAGTTTTTTAATTACACTGACAAGTTTTGATAGTTGTGTCATTTTTGGCGTCCCATCTCTCTAGAATAATGAGTACTTATACTATCAATATACATTACGTGTCTTTCCAGTAAGTAGTTTATAGTCTATCTTGATTGTTTGACTCTATAATGTGAAAAACACTATTGTTCTTCTTCTGGTGCATATATCTTGGAGTGTACTGACTTGTCACTTGAACCGTTCCAGGTGCTAGGAAAAGCCCTAGGAATCCCTGAAAACAGTGTAAGAACATATACTGAAGCTGAGATTCGTGCTAGGTATGGTAATTTGTTTTCTTCACATTTTTGTAACCAGAAAATTCTCATGAATTATTAGCTATTGTGGCTTTCAGGGGCATCAATGGTTTGCTTTTACTTTTTTCTTCTTTACTTTTAAGTTTCAGTAAAACTAGACATTTTTCCCTGTGATGCATAGAAGAGATAACAACTAAAAAATGTTTCAAAAATTGTACTCATTCTTTTAACTTTAAACCACTGTTGAAATATGTGAAGAATTTTTAAAGCAACAAAAATAAAGTTGCATGGTTGCCCTCTAAATTTGTGGAAAAAGTCGGAAGAATTAAAAAAAAAAAAAGGTTTCACAAAGCCTAAAAGGAGCTGCATTGTTGTGACTCATAAATAGTGACATTTCTTATAGATTTTATATTTTATATTGATTAGGAACCCAGAAGATTTTCTAACTTTTCTTCTTTGGAAAATCTTAGTGTGATTTTTCAGGTTTCAAAATTGTGTACACTTCTTCTAAAGGCTGTGAGAAGTACTCTTGGTTCTCAAGGTTGGGATGTTCTTGTACCTGGAAATACTTTGGGAAAATTGATTCAGGTACACTAAGTTGCATCAAGTAACGTTAACTCTAATTTTCTTAAATTGTTGTTTCTATGCACCAGTGAGTTTTGATGCTTCAAGTTCATGGAATGGAATCAAGAAATGATACATTCTCAATGCTTACTGTTTGTAATTCCTGCATCATAGAAATAAAGACAAAGTCTAGTGCTGGCAGAAACTTCTAGCTCTTGAATGCTGTGTCTCTTTATGCTCATTGCAAAAGATGTGGCTGAATTACATGAGTCTCAGTTTCTTTGACTTAGGTCGAAAGAATTGTCCCTGGCTCGTTACCACCCTCAACAGAAGGACCCGTTATCCTTGTAGTTGACAAGGCTGATGGAGATGAGGAGGTTTGCTAGATTTATATTGACTTTATATGACCTAATTGAACGTTTTGTATTAATCAATAGGTTTTAACCGTTCTGGCAGGTAACCGCAGCAGGAAGGAATATAGTGGGAGTTATACTTAAGCAAGAGCTACCTCAGTTGTCTCATCTTGGTGTTAGGGCCCGGCAGGCTAGTTCCTTTCTAAGCATTCACTTCCTAATGAGGTTTATATTATATTTATGTCTTTGACATCCATAATTTCTTGCTGCAGGAAAAGGTTGTTTTTGTCACATGCGAAGATGAAGAAAACGTTGCTGACATACAGAAACTTCTGGGCACAAGTGTGAGGTTGTATTATTGTGATGTGTGAACTCATTTTCAAAACTCATCTCTTACTGATTATATCTCATTTAATTCTATGATGTTTTTCATGTTTATTCTTATTACTTTGATTGAACTTGTTAGGTTGGAAGCATCCACTGCAGGTGTTAATCTGAAGTCGTCATCATCGGTTGATACAGATGGAAGTTCTTTTGCTAAAATTGCTTCTGATGATGAATTTCCCAGAACTGAAATTCCTTCATTGTCTGCTGGTAGAATCTCCTATGCTAATCAGGTAGAGAATATAGTTGCTCACTCTGATAGATTCCGGGTTAACTTTATTCTCCCTTCCTGCATAATCTGGTTTGGGCCTTGTATAGGCAAAATGCTCCAGCTTAATAAAAAAGGATAAAGACTTTGAAGTAGATAATTGATTTACGATGAATTTTTTTTAATGGTAGATTTGGTTACTGCAGGGTAGAAATAAAAACTAATTTTTATAATTAATATAAATATTAGAAAAGGGCTGTCCCTTTGTGCAAGGGAGAATCAGAGATCCAACAAGGTTGATAGGTTCCTTGGAAGTACAAAGACCTGCTACATTTGGCTGTAATCATGTTCTCAATCCAATTGCTTCTTCGTTTTTAAATTCCTTGTTTTAATCTTTACATCTAGAATATCTATTGATAGAACTTTTGTTTTTTCGTATTTCCATAGTTACCATTACTTCTTATTATTTGTTTTAAAGCTTTCGGTCTAATAATTGTTGTACACATCTCCAGGGTGTTTCTGCTGGAATTATCCTGCTTCCAGATGCAGAGACGCAGACTTCTGGTGCTAAGGCTGCAGCTTGTGGTCGTTTGTCTTCTTTGTCAAGAGTTTCAGATAAAGGTAACAGGAATCTATTTAATAATTAAACATTTAACCTTCTTTTCATTAAAAACAAAATTTACAGCACAATTTTAGCATTTGGGGATCTAAGCCCTATACCTTGATTTTGACCACGTAAATCCTAAACCTTCCGTTTTACTTTGCATGACAAAGTTTTGTTTTTTCAAAACAAAATCTAGTATCTTAATTAAAACTCACAAATTGGTTTGAATTTCAAATTGGTATGTTTGGTGAAGTTGACGGAAGACTAATAAACATTGAACAACGAGAAAGAACTAGTAATGTAGAGTAACTCATCTAACACAACTTTCTGAATTTGGCAAACAAAAATGTTAACACTATTTTAAAATACAGAAACACTTCTCCAACTTAAGTTGGCTTAAACTCATTACTTAAGCAAATGATTAGATTTTCAATTCCCAACTCTTGTGCGTGTAGTAAACTTAGTTGGAAGATGTATATCCTTTGTTTTCAGTATGTTAGGAGAGATTAATCTTTCCCATTAAGTATCACCCAAAAAAAAAAAAAAAAAAATAGAAATAAAGATAGAAATATATACTTCTAACTAAATGGGGGCATTAGGCATCAATGTGTGTTAATGATGAAGGTTCTGATTTATTTTTGAAGTTTAGAGCATGGAAAGCAATCTTGGTTGGGTTCATCTTCACCTGCGATATCTCATCTCATCCTCCTGTTAATTATTATTATTATTTTTTGAATTAAAAACTTGATAGTGTTTGAAGCCTTTATTACCCCCCAGTCTTGACAATTGCCATTTTTAAAGCACAAGGCTAACTTCCACATCTGCCATCTATTTTAAATTTGCTATTGACTTTAATTTCGTATAATGGAAATTTTGTGCTTTTTCGTTGCTGAAGTCATCTTAGCTCCAACTTGTCATGAATTTATTTTTTTCCAAATCTTTTTACCTCCTTAACTAAGGATTCATTTGTTTCTGTAATTTGCCCCTTCTTTATTGTCCTTAGCTCGAGATCTTGAAGTATGGCGACTGATAGTGTTTGCTAAAGAATTTTTTATGAGGCATATGAAATCTTGTTTATTAACAACCTGCAAATATATGAACATTAATATAATTACCAATCATGTATTTTCACAAATTATATTATTTGTCAGCTACTCCTTAGTGTGCTTAAATTTCTGAAATTCTGATTCTGTGTTACAGTTTATAGTGATCAAGGAGTGCCGGCGTCTTTTCAAGTCCCTCGGGGGGCAGTTTTACCTTTTGGTTCCATGGAATTGGCACTGGAGCAGACCAATTCCATGGAAGCATTCAGCTATATGGTGGAAAAGATAGAGACAGCGAGATTGGATGGTGGTGAGCTTGATACGTTATGCCATCAACTCCAGGAATTGATCTCTTCTCTGCAGCCTCCAAAAGATATTATTGAAAGCATCAGAAGGATATTTCCAGACAGTGCACGTTTAATTGTTCGTTCTAGTGCCAATGTTGAGGACTTGGCCGGCATGTCAGCAGCTGGACTTTATGAATCAATACCCAATGTCAGCCCATCCATCCCAACAGTTTTTGGTGCTGCAGTTAGCCAGGTTTGGGCCTCATTGTACACAAGAAGGGCTGTCTTAAGCCGTCGTGCTGCTGGCGTGCCTCAAAAAGAAGCTGCAATGGCAGTTCTGGTCCAAGAAATGCTTTCACCAGATTTATCTTTCGTGTTACATACTTTCAGCACAACAAACCAGGATCATAACTATGTAGAGGCAGAGATTGCTTCTGGCCTTGGTGAAACTCTGGCTTCTGGGACCCGGGGAACCCCATGGCGTATCTCATCTGGGAAATTCAACGGGCTAGTGCAAACACTAGCATTTGCAAACTTCAGCGAGGAATTGCTTGTACGTGGCGCAGGACCTGCAGATGGGGAGGTTATCCGTTTGACAGTGGATTATAGCAAAAAACCGTTAACAGTTGACCCAGTTTTCCGCAGACAAATGGGTCAACGTCTTTGTGCAGTGGGGTTTTTCCTCGAAAGGAAATTCGGTTGCCCACAGGATGTAGAAGGATGTCTCGTTGGAAAAGACATATTTATTGTCCAAACTCGGCCACAACCCCATTAAAACATCTCTCTCCAACTCTATCTCTTGACTGGAAGCCTGAGTGTCATAATACATGTAAACATTCGCTGTTAGTTTGGATATTTGCATCAGTTGATTTAGGGTACATGGACCAACTGCTCCACCCTTTGGTTCCATCAATTTGAAGATCAGACATACGAGGGAAGTGCACCCTTGTATAGCAGTATGTGATGGAACAAAATCACTCTGAAGGAAGTTGAAGAGTTTGTTGAACAAGCTGATTATCCACACATGGTGATAAGTTGTGTTGGATTCTTCAGGTGAGATCGAGCATGGCGGGTCCATTCTACTTGGGTGTATAGTAATATTTGTCTAATAAGGATCAGAAATAATGGTGAGCTATGAGAAAGGAGTCGGAAATGCAACAAACGAATCAGAATTTCATAGGGTTTAGGCGAGTGCAGATACCTTAATAGAGATTGACTTCCTGAATCTTATTCTGTTCCATGTATTGCTTCCAACTCTTGGTTCATGCGTTATTCAAATTTCCCTGAAAGTTTCCTGATCTCAACATGTATTGCACTTGTTAATATAAGCAGGATTTCCTATTGAAAAATTATGCCACGAGATAGTACAAGCAAGTGATTGAGGATTCCTAAGTAGGTGCTGAATTGCTTGCGGGATCTTCAAAGATTGATATGCGTAGTCTGATTGACTTTTCATCATCAAATTTGGCATCTCCAGTCAAATATCAAGCTGCAATTGATTAAATAAATTGACTGAGTTGAAGATGGAAATGTTCCTTTTCGTACAATTTTCCAACTAACTTGGATTTCATGATTGGTTAATCCTTCATTTTTTTAGATTTTTTCTTCTCCTTCCAAGCACCCTTGTCTCTCTGGTTTTTTTTTTTTTTCCTGGGTACTTCCATGGTAGGTAATGTGTGCTTGTCGCTGTGGGCTTCAGATGAAAAAGTTACGCCTCGTTTGATACAAAAAAATATTTTAGTAGGAGTTGAGGTAAAAATAAAAGTAAAAATAAAAGTGAAATTTAAAAGTATATTTAATAAAAGTAAGTTTAATATGTTGACAGAAGTGGGATAAAATTTTTATTTAATATTATATTTATATTTTAAAAATATCAAAATACCCTTGAAATTCAAAAAAAAAAAAAAAAACGGAGAGCCAACCTCCAGCACACAAAGCCACCGTCATGGAAAAGGAAAACCGCCATTGGAGAGCAAAGAAACTATCGTCCAAGAAGAGAAACTGAGGAACTCAACCAACAAAGCATTCACATATTAAAAAAAAAATCAACAAATTAAGCATTCAAACATAAGATAATTCATCAAATTTCATAAAACCATACTAAAAATCATATAACATATTCAAAGTTCAAACACAGATCTGGAATGATGAAGAAGATGGAGATCCACAACCTGAATTTGACGATCGACTCAGACGGAGATTTACAACCTGTGAAGATCTAGAGGAAGACGAAGAGAATGACGGAGTATGAACAAAGTTCGCATGGACGACAAAGGTAGAAAGATTGACCGGAATTTTCTCACAGGTTGAGGAAGAGGACGGCGAAGTCCGAACATCGAAAGATTGGTCATCGGTGAGTACTATTGCTATAGAAGATCTGGAGCATGCCGTCGAACGTGGGCCTCCAACAGCTTCACCGTCATCCTTCGATTGTTCAATGAGGGAGGGTCTCGGGGCAAAATGGTCAGAAAGAGGAGTTCTAGAGAAGTGGAACTAGGTTCCTTTAAATTTAATGAAACCCAATTCTCCAAGAAGCCTTTTCAAGCATACCAAATACACAAAATTTTGAGTTCCATGTCTACTTCCACGTCTCTCCTCCCAATTCCTTGCTACCAAATAGGCCATTAATTTCTAATCTCAGAAACCATACCATTCCCTCAGATAACTTAGCGGGGATCATAAACACTTGACGACGAAGACTTCTTTCTGTGAGTTAACATTATTTACAGTCCAATAAAAATATGAGTGCTTGATACTTCAGCTTATTCATGAATGTTGGCACAAACAACATTTGGAAGGTCAAAAGCATCAGACTTTGCTTGCCCTGACCCATGAAAGTTACTTGAGCTACCCATCTTGGGTACGAAGAAATACTTGAGTCTCCTTTTGAATTCCATTTGCAGAACTCCCTTGTTATTTACTCTATCATGTCTATGGATGCAAGCTAAAGTCAGCGTCATCTATAGGCTCGCGTTTAATTAAGATCACCTAATTAGTTGAAGTTAAACGGCTGACATAAACACCAAAGGTGAAACAAACCACCAAACAGAATCAAATAAACAAGGATTAAACTTGGACGTAATTTTTTGAGTATTGCTTTACTCACATTATAATTTGGGGGGAGGTGGGGGAGCTTGAATAAAACCTTCAAAGAACTGACCTTAAAATGTAATTTTTTAGGAGATCAAACATAATAGCATCTCTAACAATACGATGCCTTTGTAGACAAGTGATGCAGAGATAGGCCGAGCCACCGTGGGAATATATGACAATTGATTTGGGAACCATTTAGAGGAATAAAGGTAGGTTTAATTGGAGCTAAATGCTACTGGTCAAAAAAAAAAAAAAAAAATAGAGCTAAATGCTAATCCATAATTAAAAGCAGTCTTGAGTTGCACAGTTTAACCAACTAACAACCCTAACACCCACTCCCATTATGATATTTGTAGTATACTATTTCTCTCACACACCAAACTTGACTTCCCATATATTTCTTTAATTCTTCACGTAAATCATTCTAGCTTGCTCATGAAGATAAACAGTGCCTGATATAATAGGCCCCTGGTAGCCTTCCCTTGTATAGGTAAGCTAGGAGATTATGATGCTCTCTTGATTATATGCTCTGACTCTCAACAACTAGGAAGCTGATATACCTTAAGTTTGGCTGGCTTTTAAGAAAAATGAGAGAGAGAATGGAAGGATTTATGGTTCTGCCATTCTCTTTTGGGTGTGCTTCTCATTCAAGTGTTGAGTTAGGCGGACCTAAGGCAGATTCAAAAGGCTCCACTGTTACTAGTACTCTCTGTCCCTCTCCCCTCTCTCTCTCTCTCTCTCTGTGTGTTTCTGTTTCTTTTGGCATCAATCTATCAGTAATCTTGAGGTGTTTGATGTGTAAGGAAGAGAAGCAGGAGAAGGAAGAGGAGAGAGTTCATCAAAATCAGCCAAAATGATCATAAAGACAAACAAGTCATCTTCTGGGCTTCTTCATACACTGTCCAAGCCTAACATTGTCGGTGGCATACAGCACCTGATCAGAGGCATCAAGAATTTATCTCAATTCTTATGTGAGTTGATTTCTTCAAATTCCAATGATTTTTTTCTAATTATGATCTCGTCAAGTAAATGAAATAACAGAGCTCACGCACGGTTGGGGTCTTTTTCTTCTTGGGAGATGTTTGGTTAAATTTTAAAGCCTTGGCTTGAATTTGGAATTGATTAATATGTCAATGTAATTCAGATCCATCATGATATTAAATTTTAGAAATAATATAACTTTTAATCTCTCATATTTATCTCAATTATCAATTTAGTCCATCAATTTTAATTTTTATTAATTTAGTCTTTTAAATTTATTTTAATTATTGATTTAATTTTTATTGTTTAAAAAAGAGGTTACACAATTAAAATTTGCTAACTTTGATATTGGGATATTGATAACAGCCATGTAAATTAATGAAAATGAATATAATTATTTAGGTGTGAAAAACAAACTTTGGAATTTTAAAAAACAAGAACATAAAATACATTATAAGAGATTATATTGATAAAAATTAAATTTATTTAAGGGTTAATTTATTTTTATTTAACTAAATATGCATGCCAAATCATAAATATATTTATAAATTAGATTATTTTGAGAGTAAATATGTGTTTTAAAGCTTAAAAATTTGACATGATAATTTAATAAAAATAAAAGGGTTCAAATTGATAAAAATTAAATGTAAAAAACAACATCAAACTTAAAGGACTAAAGGTTGTAGGTTAAAATTTACATTTAGTCCTTTAATTTTACACAAAATTTTATTTTAATTATTTAATTTAATAAAGTGTCTTTTTAATTTTTTTAATTCTAATATCGTTTTCATACCAACAAACTTTCATATTAAATTTTTAAATATTGACAAAACATTCTTAAATTTTAACATATTAAGTTTAATTTTTTTAAATAATAATGATTGACAAAAAAAATATTTAAAACTAACAGTGTTATAATTAAAAGGTTAAAAAAATACTTTGAAAAATTAAGAGGTCGGAGCTGTATTATCTATAAATTTTAAATCAGATTTGATCAACATGTGATCATGCTTGATGGTTGTATTAGAGTTCGTTATCATGCATAACTATTATTGATCTGGTACATTTCTCACTTCTTGTGATTCAATGATGTTTTTCTGGTTTATTAAGGATGATAGTCAATCAAATGTGTTCACTTATTAGTTCATACTGGTTAAATCAACCATTTAGCGAATCAATAGGTAAAATTTAAGCAATAAGATACAATATCCACCATTTCAGCAAACCAAGCTAAACATAAAAGCTTTTGTTTAAAAAGTACAATAAGATAGCTTTAAAATCATCAAAGATATGAATTATATAAGGCATCATGTTTTTTAATGGTCAAACATCTTGCTTTTTTTTAAATAATTAAATGATATTTTTACCCCTCAACTCTTTGTTTAGGACATATGATATTTTAAATTTTCATGTAAGACAATTTCTCCCTTTAACTTCTAAAAATAATGCATTAAGTACTTTGTCATTAAAAAATTAACTTTAATTATTAATTAATTCAAAAAAAAATTAAAAAGAAGCACAAAAATTACAGGAAAAAAACTCATAACATTGCCAATAAGATAAAAAATTAATATCAATTGTTCCCTTTTTAATATCATTTTTAAAAATTTTTAAGTTCTTTTTTTATTTTTTTGGACTGGAGAGAAATTGCACCATTATGCTCTTGAACAAATAGTTAGAGGTCAAAAATATCCTTTTAACGTTTTCTTTTTCTTTTTGTAAACCAAGATTGTCGTAAGGATATTAGTAAGGAAAGCCGACAGCCAATCCTTCCAAAGTGAACATTGATTAGATTGCTGAAATAGATAATCAATCACATTTGAAAGATTAAAGGAGTTCGTAATAATTTATATAATCCTTAGTATAACCTGTAACACTCTACTTAGGAGTAGCAATTTTTCCATATAAATGTGCATGTATAACAGTAACAGAACCAATCACCGTAGTCCGTAGAATGGATCGATCAATGCGAGTGTGATCCAAATAACGTATGTCTAATACTTTTGCTGGCATCCATAATTGCAGTATATCATATCAATTTTATTTTTGGTAAGAAAAACAATGATCTCAATTTATTTGGATAAGCTATCTGCGTTATTGCAATTGGAAATGTGCAGCGTTTCATGTGATTTTTCTTTGTTCTGTTCTGTTGGATCAGTCTATAAAGAAGAAACAAAGGAGATGGAAGCTGAGATGGAAATTGGATATCCAACAGATGTGAAGCACTTGACACACATAGGTCTCGATGGGTCTACCACTACCACCACACCTAATGACAAGGCCTGGGACAATCTCAAGCCCCCTCCTGAACTTCTGTCTCTCTCTTCCATCTCTTTCAAGCACTTTGAGATTGCCATGGCTGCCCAAGCTCACCACCCTCTCTTGAATGATCCCTCCTCCAGATTTGGTTAACACCCTACAATTCCTTCTTGTTTTTTTTTTTTTTTGTTTGGGCTCTACTTGTAGATTATGATGGTGAAAGTTGGTGTTTGATGGCCATGTGTCTGAACGCTGAAGAGTTTACCTACAAGTTACGCAAGATGATATTCTACATTCGTAATCTTCTTAAAAACCAGAATGGAGTCTGTAGATTCTCTCGGGAATCTTGGAACTAACATCATCACCGGGTCTTTGTCGACTCTGTACTTATATTATCCCAGATTTTCTTTAAAAAAAAGAGAGAGAAGAAAACAAGCATTGTTGGATAAAACTTGAAGTTCATAAAAATGAGAAACAACGACTCCAATGTTCAAACTTAGTTAAAAAAAAAAAACCTGAAAAGATCCTGGTGACTTTGACCACCATGACCCTGAAAGACTTTGAGCTTGAACCTTGAGGATTCAAAGAAAGACTAAAGAGATTGTCTGATAAGCAAATTTGGATAAGTAGTTTTGCTTAATAGGAAGAAAATAATCAAATCACCAAAAATCGAATATGCCGTCAAAATCCTACAACCAACACCCACCCAAAAAGCAAGGAGTCGAGCCCAGAAGAAGAATATGCATTTTTATCTACGGAGAAACAAACCACACAATAACATACCTATCGAAGAATAGTGGAAGCAAGAGTAGCAAAATGATCTAAAAGCTAGAATATACGAAATGAAAAATTAAGAAGGAAAAATATCAGAAGAAAGAAGTAGAAGGGATACAAAATGTAGGCATCATAGCGAGCCGAAAGCTGATGGAAAACAGAACAGCGGCTTTCTGAGATGCCATTAGATTCACTGTCAGATCCGTCAACAATGGTCGGCGATGACCCTCCAAGCAACTCATCGATTGGCGGTCTAAGCCTTCCGATTCCAGAAGGATCCATTTTGAACTTCCCATTCGCCTTCCGCTAGGTTTTGATACACTACATGCATGCCTGGGCTTTTCTCTATTTTGGGCTTTACCCTATCGCTACTACTATAATACCCCTCCTTTATTTCCTAATGACAATGATACATTCGCTTCTGCGGCTGTTTACAAGTCCATAGCTTCAGGCCCAAGTGTCTCCAAGCCCATTTCCCAGTTTCAAAATCTTTGCTTCTAATCAAATTTTTATTATTTGATTTGATTTATTCAATTTTTTTTGGTTCGATTCAATTCTTGTAAAGAAATATATTTCAGTTGATCAATTTAATTCAATTAATAAGATTTAAAATTAAATAGACTGAACTGCCAGATTATCATATATATAATTATTAATTTATAAATTATATTTATTTTATTAATTATTTTTTATATATAATTTATTAACTTATAAATAATATATTTCTGTAATTAAAATGGGCTACTATCACTTTACAAGCCCAATTTTAAATATAAGCTTTGTTTGTTTTAGTAAAAAAATAACAAATTTGACCAGAGTCCAAGCATCCCAACATAAAACCAAAAATTGAATTAACCAAATGAACCAAATTGTCAAATTTCTATTTAGTCCTTGTTCGGTTCAATTAGGTTCATATTGTTAATGTTATTCAATCGATCAGTTTTGCATATTTTGGCACCTAACTAACTGATACTCACCCTAAATGCAAACAAACAATTGAAGGGCATGTTTTGCAAGAAGGCAAAGGGAAGAATTGCACCTTGGTCCCCTAAACCAGAGAAAGTTGCATTTAAAACCTAATACATTCTAAATTTATTCCACAAGCTCAAGGCCTTTATATGAAATTATGTTTTAGTGAGATTAGACGCATATGCCCTTAATGAATGAGAAAGAGAATAAGCTAGAATTGTTGAAAACAAAGACGTGTGAGGAAGGAAGAAGGTAGCCAACTCCATAGATTGTAGCTATCTTAGCTTCTATTCTAACTAGACTAACTCACAAGGTGGGTGAAAGTCAAAATGTGTCCATCCTAATTAGTGCTTGTGTGCAAAATTTTATAAGCATTATGGTCTCTTGTGACTAATGCCATGGTCATTCATTTCTCTACTAAAATAAGAAAGAGATAGAGTTGGAGGAAGGAGCTTAGTAAGGTAAGTGAAACTCCTTGGTCTATGCAAGCTTGGTGAGGTAAGCTAAATTGATCGATTTAAATAGGGTAGTTTCTTGCATGTCAATTTCTTGCTAAATGTCAATAAGGATTCAGCCTTTAATTCTAATTCTAATCTAATGTAAAAGTAGTTGCATTTAATGGGGGGTTTATATAAGGTGGTAGAGTGCAAATTGGATGGATTATTTGTTGTACAAAATGTAACACCCTTAATATAATTGATAATAATTACCTTATCTTAGATAAGACCCATTAAGTTAATTAGTTAAACAATGGGATTCCAAGAACAATCGAGGCTTTCTTGCCTACAACACATCTTCATAATTAATTCCAAATATAGCTAAAAATACGTTAATAAAAATAATATGACTCGACCAATTACTTAAAGAGAACTAGTTAAAGTAACTCAGAGAACCCAAAATACCATATTTATTAAAATGTTTCGAAATCAATGATAATGAATTAAATAAACAATCCTAAGCCATGGCAATAACCAAAGTAAACTAGACATGTGCAATGCTTACAAGACAACTGCACAATTGCTCAATTCTTTAGTGCGTTCTATCTTTATCAGATCAAATTTAATTTACTACATGTGGTGATAACCTATTGCTCAATTTACAAGTACATGTTTAGTTATTCCCAAGTTAAATTCCTTACAACTTCATATGTTCACAACTAAAATTTAGTGATAGCAAATTCCATTTTTGCAACTGCATGTTTACATTTTTATGATTTTAGATTCTCATATTAACAATTAATATCCATTTTTTACTAACTCCTTATAAATCTAAAGAAATAAATGTATAGGACCAGGCTCAAATTTCACTATGATCCAATTATTTATTCTTTCCAAGAATTCTTTTATAAACTCATACCATCCTATAAAAAATATATCTTTTTTTTTCTGTTCTCCTTAACCATGTTGCACACCTACACAAATCATTAATGCAATCAACATAGACAACTATTAAATTGCATAAAGTAATTACTTAGATTTTGCATTGCAATTTCAATATTTTTAACAACAAAAGGATCACATATTGACAAGTCTAACTTAGATATTTACGATTAAAAATCTATATGTATTCACAAGCAAAGGTTTAAAATTGACAAATTTGTGTTGACAAAGTTCAAATCAGGGAAACAATGATAAAAATAATCAATTAATTATGTGAACCTATAATAAACAAATTAATATAATAAAATATTTATATATAGAAGCCCAACTTTTATTTTTTACAACTGAACATTCAACACAAATAAGACAACATTTGTAATATTCCAAATTTTAAACCTTGGATTACTAAGGGATTATTCAAGTTTGATTGTGATAATTGAGTGATTTGACGTGGAGTGTGGCCATAGGATCTAATAAGTGTATTTGATTATGATTTCAATGCTATTTATGGGTTCAAAGTAAAGTCGGGCCACTTAAACATCGAATGGGAGAGAAAATATAGGTGTATGGTTTCGTACCACATGTTGCAGCATTTACATGTTCCACTATGACACAATGAGCTGAAGAAGAGAGGCAGAGCCTCTTTGTACCACACACCGTAACACATGGCTCTTTTTTGCAAAATTTAGTCATAAACTAAGATAGGAATCAAAAGAGGAAGAAGGGTAAAATGAAGGAGCTTATTCTTGCTCTACTAAGGTTTGCCACATTGGTGGTCTGAAAGTATTTTAGTACTGGATGATAGGAAATTAGTCGCTTATCCTCAAAATTACACTAAAGCTAACCCTAATGCAATATAGAGCCAACCCTAGGTCATCTCCCAAGGAATGGTTTTAAGTTTAACTGAAAGTTATCTAGTGAAATAAATCAATCAAAGTTTGTAGGAATTTAGTTACCTAACTAATTACCTAATGTGCAAGTAATTAAAATGCTAGTGAAAGTGAGTGAAATGAACTTCCCTTTTCATAATAATGGAACCCTAGAGATTAGTTGATTTTGGACTCATTATCTTCTCATGATTAGGCTAAGTTTAGCTTCCCTTTCCTCTTGACTAAAGCTGTCATGACTTAAGAAAATTATCCTAAGCCAATTAACCGAATTAGCTAACCTCCCTAGGTCTTAGATTAAAGTCCCTAGCTTAATTAACCAATTGGTGAAGACATTAGCCAAGTAATTCACTCAAAATCCTCTCTCAACAGCCATGGTCAAACACATAAATTGAGCAACCATAAGATTATGTCAAGCTACTCAACAACACAAGCTTAACACCACAAGATTATGCAATATTAACACAAGAAATTCACTAATTGAAAAACACAAAATTATGTGCCAAACAAAGAGTGGCAAAATTCAGTCATGGCTGTCCAAGGAAGAAATTAAATGAAACAATCCTCTCTCTTTACATCAACATCAAATTCAAATTAGAATTTATAAGCTAAGATGATTAAACCCTAGATTAAGGAATCTAACCATCTAGTAAAAAGAGAAGAGGATAGGAAACAAAAGAACTTAGCCAATTTGAAGCTCAAGACTCATCCTCCATCTTCATCTCTCTAGGATTCCACAAAGAAACTTAGCCGATCTTCATCTTCAAGAACCCTAGTGATTGCTTGTGAAAGCCAAACTCCATAGCTCTTGAATGATGGAAATGAGGTTCAATCCTTGTGAAAATGGAAGGGATGGAACGAAAATGAAGAGAGGAGAAGAATGGTATGAGTTTTGTGGAGGTTTGGTGGCTGAAAATGGAGGGTAGGGTGCTGGAAAATGAAGAACAAAAGAGAGAAAATGAAGAACACTATGAACAAGAGAGAGAGAATGTGGAAGATGAATGAGATATGTGTTGGATCCCATTTGGGGCTTAAAATGGCGTGCTCCTTGGTGTCTCCCATCAGCTGAAGCTTAATTAAAATAAGAAAAAAGAAATTAAAATGTAAATGGGAGCCTTGTCACACTTGCAAGGTGGCAACTTCCTATTGGTTTGTAGATGATTCCAATATGTGCCTAATTTCCCATGTGTCATCCACATCATTTTAGCTGATTTAACCCCTCAAAATAATCATAATTCACGTGCAAACCATCAGCCATTGACCTCAAGGAGTGTTGACCTCAATTGC